TCCTGTTGTTTGCTTGCTATGGTACTGGAAGCACCGCACATTGTTCTGTGCTCAAATTAACCAGGCATTTGCCATCCTACAGGTGGAATACCTTATATATATATTATATATATATATATTTAAATGTTTTCCTGCTTATTCTCATTGGAGGAAAATAAAATAGCCTTTTTCTTCCCTTTGTGCAAGATTGAAGCTGTTGATAAATGGGGGTATGAGATACCTGTGCAAACCAGACCACCAGTGGTTTAGAGGGTGGCAGCTCAGAGCAGGCAGAAGTCAGCTCTAAGGGAAAGCTCAGAGAAGCAAGGGTCTTTTCCCTGTTTGCCCTCTTCTGGGCATATTTATTTTGGCAGGTTTTTCATTTGTGTGATTTTTCCCTGCTGAAGATGGTGATTTTTGGCCAAGGACCTACTCACTGTTTAAGGCTTACAGTACTCCCAAGGTAAATGCTTCTGCATTTAGGCTCCTGAAAGGCCCAAGTGTGATGAAATGGGAAAAAGCCATCAGTGAAATCCAAACACAAGTCATATTTAGAAAGCTTTACGTACCACTTGCATAACACAGAGGAAAGATGACGAAGAGGAGGAAATTATCAGATTATCTCGGGCACCTGACGGAGGCAGCCCCTCCCAGGAGAGCGGCACAGCAGTGCCAGGAGCACCCGTGGCTTTTCCACAGGGAGCAGCATGACGCTGCAGACATTGACGAGAGCACTGGAAGGACTTTAAGACACCCCAAAGCACTTAATGCAGTGTAGTCAGCAGAATTTAGAAATATCTGTTAAAAAAAATAACATAAAATACCACTGCATCTGAAGGGAAGCTTTGTGCTGGCACAGCCACCTCTCCATCCAGGCAGGGGGAACAGGAGCGAGGCACAGCAGCCTGGTCCTGCTCTGGTGGCCTTGCTGAGGTTTTTCTCAGCTCAGCTGTGCCATTGTCCCTGATGCTCTTGCCCCTGAGGTGCCAGGGCTCAGACAGACTTGGGAAGGGGGCAGGTAAGCTGGGATGAAGTTAAAACACAGTGATAACTTTCAGCAGCTGAGATCCAGTGCAGGTGGGAAGAAAGGACACTTGGTGCCCCCCCCATGGGGCAGGGCTTGGACCTCCTGGGCCAGCAGGCAGCCTGCTGTGGTGGCTACCAAAATAGCAGCTTGTCCTACACCATCTGCGGGCTGTTATTTCAGAGATTTTATGCCAGCTGAGCTAGCACAGGTGTGTTTTACCTGCAGCTGAATCTCCCCAGGCAGGACCAGGCTGCCCCCAACAGGGACTGGTCTGTTCCAGCTGAGCTGCAGCAAGGCACAGGCCTCAAGGGCAAGTGCCCAACTGCATTGTCCCAGCACCACAGATCTGTCCCCTGGACTCAGCAGAACTGAGGTTTTCCCAGTGAAAATGGGTTGGTGTACATGGCCGGGCCTCAACCACGGCACCTTGCCTCCAGTCGCCGCCATGGCTTCGCAACTAAAAATGTATTTCTACCTCCCCTGCTTAAACCAGCACCTACAGCAGATCTTCGTGCATTTCCAGCCAACAGATCACATCTCCAAACACTTCAGAAGTAGCATTTGTAACCAGAGAGAGACAGAAATCATTTCATGGAAATTTCACAGCTTTGAATTTTTTTTCCCCTTTTATTGAAACAAACAAACCAAACTTCCCCCTAGGAAATAAAGTACAAAGAGCATATGTGTTAGGTCAAAACAGTATTCTGTTCCCATTTTGATTTTTTAAAAACTGTGCCTTATGTTTGGTAATATAAAATAGCTTAAAAATTAAGCCAACTTTGAAGTGGAAGCGCAGACTCTTCTGCGAAGTCCAAAAATAACTTCTCAGCATTCTTCATCTCACTGTTGGTTGCAAAGAGAGGTCAGAAACTTGTCAACTAAATCTGCTTCTGGAAGGCTGCGATCCCCATTGCCTGGATTACTCTATAACAGGCAAAAAATACTTGGAAAACACTGGTGTGAGCCTGGCAGGCAACGCCAGGGCCTTCTGCTCCTTCTCCTGCACAAAGCGAGCTGTGGAGCTGCGGCCAGAAAGAAGCTTACCGGGGTTAGCAACTTCGGGATGAACTTCTTTCAGAGCCATTTCTCTTGATGCCAAGAGTGCAAGTGATGGGAGAGCTGAGCTGGTCAGCTGCTAATGACGGTCATTGGAAATCATTGCTGGTTTGTCTGAATGCCTGTCCCTGGGAGAGGGGAGCACCGCCTCACCTCTGCGTGCTTCCACATGCAGACGTGCTTCCCCTGAGCTAATGCTCAGACCGCTCTCGGGAGGAGGACTTGTGTCAGAGAAACCAACAGACCCGCTCTGTAAGTGCCTTGGTAGAAAATGTCCTTTCCAAACCAGACTGCCCTCCTTGGTCATTTCTGCCACTCCCCATTTCTCAATACACTTTTCAAAGCACGCCTGTGCAGGACAAGACAGTTTTCTAGTGAACATCCCAATTTAAGTCTGGCTCTCTGAGATGGACATTTCCAACAGCCTTCAACAAAATTAATTTAGTTTCTCCATAGAAGAAAAACGCTCATTATTAGGACAGAAGAGAAGGTTGGAGAGATGAAGCGATCGACTCCATCTCTGAAGCAATTAGTCCTGGTAGGCTGTACAACAGGGCTGCAAAAGAGCACTGTAATTTTCACAGAATTACCGGACCTCAGAGTCAAAAGTGTTTAAATAACCCCCTCATTATTTAGGGCTGGAAAGTTAAATGCTATTCAGGAGCCATGCACAGCAGTGTGGCTCCACGCAGCCCACATTGGGAGCCTTTTTAGTCATTTATTAAAGATAAATGATAGCAAAGAATGACACCTTTGAGGTATTGGTGAGGTACTGAAAGTAAGAGCCAAGGTTTTGAAGTACTTCATGGTCTGTTTTCTGCATTTGATCATGGTTGGGAGAGTACAAGAAATGTATCCTCTCTCTCTGGAATAAAAATATAGAAGCAGAAAAAGGCTGGAGCTGCCGGTATCGAGAGATCTGCTGCATCTTCTGAGAAAAAAAAAAAAAAAAAAAAATCAAAACAAGATGAACATACAGAGAAGGGCAGAAAAAATGCAAACTCCTCACTTTGACCTGCAGCCTCCAAAAACCTGCCAAACTTTGGTGCTCAGAGCTGGTGGGATGGCAATTACATCCTGCAGCTGATCACAGTCAGGCTACAGATCCTCAGCCTGACTCCACAATTCTCCCCAAAGCAGCTTTATTAGGGACTGCTTTTTTTTTTTTTTTTTTTTTTTTTTTTTTTTCTCCCTGATAATTAGAGCAAATTTCCAACAAACCATTTATAGGTCTTCCATTTCCAGGTCTATTTCTACTTCCATTTCTGAACCTTGTTTTTTAAACTGTAAATCTGACTTGGGGCTGTGTTGACATAAAATTGTTTATAGAAAGTTAACTAATTAGTAACACTAATTGGGACTTATGTTGCCTGCCACAAGGCAGAAATAGAGACCTTCAGCTCAGAAACAAATGCTTTTCTGTCAAGTGAATTTTTAACCAGTAACCATGTTTTTTTTTGCTAGCAACACTGAAATTACCAAGTGAAGAGAGTTGCACCACAGTCAGAATTTGCTAAGAATATGTAATCTGAAAATGGGTAATGATATGTTATAAAGAAAAGTATCCTTTAAAACATATAATTGCTGATTTGCCATGATGACAATAAATTAGATTATCTTTTAGGAAATAGTCTGGTCTATTTATATCTCTACTGCTACGTAATTGCAGAAAGCCTGCTGCTGGAATGTGCTTTTGCATGTAGCTTAGCTCCCAAAGCAGAACACACGCTGCTAAAGAGAAAGGCTTTGGTTTTCCAATATGCTAAATTTGGCCTTCAAACCTATTGGTGAATGTGAATGGAAACAGCATTGGTTATCAATCAGGGTTATCAATCCTGATTGATGGAAAGCTTTGGGCCATTTAGGAGCAACTATTTGAAGACAGTTAATACAATTAAGGAGAGAAGTCTGGGGAAATAGCTGTGGGGCTGAGCTGCCTCCCTGGCTGCTCCTGGTGCTGGCCAGTGTGGTGGTACCATCACGTCGCTGAGCTACAGGGATGGATGACACAGCTCAGCGTCCTCTTGGAAAAGGCAGCTGGCTGCAAGCCCGAAGGAGAACTCTGACACGTCACCATTTAGCAAATGACTTCTGTGGGATTTCAGTACGTGCTTAAAGGCTCTGGTGAGCCACAGCTTCAGGTATGTGCTTCTGCTGCGTTCACACCATTCTCACCCTGAGATGGGGCATGTCAGAGCTGGACATCGTGCGATCACGGTGGGTGGGAACAAACCTGGGAAACTCTGAAGCACTGGGACCTGTGGGAGGTTGAGGGACTGGCCAGGAGTGGGGGGAGCTGGGAGAAAACCCAGGCTTTTGTGATTGCTGCCACATCTCTGTTATTGTCTGTTTTGTTAACATCAGAAAGAAAAAAATAAATCCACACAGGGAATTCTGCAGGAGCTGTAGTAGATGACAGCTTGCCAGCTTGGAGGAAATCATCCTGGCTGTGTGGAGGCTAAAAGGGCTCCCCAGGAGGCATCCCTGTTTACCATCACCCCATTTGCAGCCTGTAGCACCCAGCCTAAGGGCAAGCCAGCAGATGCCAGACTCTGGCTGCAATTTGCTGCTTGGTTTCCTTCCTGGGAGCCGGTCCCCATGTTTGCCTCCTTTTAACCCAACTTTGTTCCACATACATTTTCTTGTAGACTTGAAATGATTTTTTTTTTCCCCCAAAAAATTCTAAGTTGATTTATTTTTGCAGCATCACTAGTGGGTCCGGTGTCCCAAGTAATTCTTCAGGCACATTTGTAGAATGAGGGGAACGCCTTATACCTGGGGCTGTTCCCCCCTGGACAAGAATTGGGAGCATCAGCCCAGGACCCTGGACCGCAGGGCAGGGCTCTGCACAAGCAGCGTTCCTGGCCCCCCCTGCTCCTTTCACACGAGACAAGAGAACAAGGAACCCAAAGCCTGGGAATAAAAACCAGCACAGAAATGGATGTTTACCATTCACTGTATTATTCCCTTGTGTACAAAGTATTTTGCCTCTATAATAGCACACAGGTATTGAAATACGATGGCAAATGCAGAAAGACCATACAGACATCTCTTACAGGTCTCTTCATTTCCTTTTGAATATAATCAGAAAGAAAAGAAATACTGTACAGGAAAGTGCTCGCAAAACAAAACGAAAAAGTTTGTAGAAAAATAATGGCATTGATATACAAAACCCAGAGTTGTTTCCTGAACAAGAAGCGTTGAAGGCCTCTGGTCCTCAAAGTCTGTTCCTATTTAATGAAGCCCTTTAATGAATCATAATCTAGTGAATCAGTGATCTATCAATTCTTCCCTTATAGTTTATTTAATATTTTTTTAGGTTTCTCTTGCTCTGTTATTAGCTGTTATGAATCTATATGGTAGACAGGAATGTGTACAGGTCAAAATAATATTTCTTTTTATAAATAGCCATTCACTTCATTACAGAAAATATAATAAGCCTGTACTTTCTAAGCACCACTGTTTCTCTCTAAAGTTCATAGTGCAATTTTCCCTTTTCCCCTACAGAAGTTATACATGAGCAATTATCATTAAAAAATCTTTATTCTGTAACTATTGCTTTTCCCTTTTTCCTCTCCCTTTCCCTATCCCTTTTTTCCCTTACCCTATCCCTTTTTCCCTTTCCATTTTCCCTTTTCTTTTCTTTGACTTTTGAAATGGTATTTTTGGCATTTTTCTCAGAAAGGCGTAATTTCTCATTGCTACTCATAGGCATACAACATAGGTGAAATCAGCCTTAAGATATGATCATATCTACTTATTTTATGTGCTATTAAACAAAACAAAAAACAAAAAAATCACCCCAAATGATGAGTAAGATAGTCTCATTCTTTCCTCTAAGCCTGAATATTAACGAGAGCGGCAGAGGCACGCATGGGTAAGTGCCGAGCACCGATTCTTTAGCTGCTGCCTTTTAACAGGACCCTGCTCACACATTAGATGTCTACCGATTTACGTGAATATATCAATACCTGTCTGTCAGGCTGACGGGTTTCATTCTGCAGGCTGAATACATGCATTATGAATCCAGGGATCTGACAATTTATTGCTATTGATCTGACTGTTTTGTAACAGACTGACTGCTCCTCCTCTGGGGAGCTGGGTAATGGCAGGTAAAAGACTTGCAGAAGATCCTGAGGAAGGGTTTGTTGAGTGTTTGCATCCAAAATTGAACGATTTAGCCAGATTAGCAGACAAGACTCTTTGGTCTTCCAAACTGCTGGCAATTTTGTGCTAAAAAGCTTCCTTTCCTTGTACTTTGTGCTGCTGGCTGCCCTGACATACGGCAGCGGGGCAGCGTCTTCCTATAACTAAGTAAAATTGTGGAGAAAGAATTAAGAGACATAGTCATAGACTACAAAAATAATCTGGTCACATCACCCCCGTTCAACGTGCTACGAAGCTCTGCGAAAAACGTGGCATGCCGCAAGCAGCAGGCTATGTACAGGCGGAGCTGCAGTCATCACACAGCCGTGGTGGTGCCTATGGGAGCTTTCCCCTCAATTAAAAATAAAATAAAAAAAACAACACAAAAAAAAACATTAAAGGTCTGGTTGTACATTGGATTGCGGACAGCAAAGAGCGCAGATGCCCTACCAGGAAGATACGAAGCAATACAGAAGTAGGCGTAAAGCAGGCTGTTTTCAAAGGGGGGGGGCAGAGTTATCTGCAAGTACACGCTGATCTCGCTGCTGCCGCCTGCCCGGCCCTGCGTGCTTGCAGATGGGCTGCCAGTGAGTAGGAAGCCGGGAAGCATCGCGGGGCAGCAGGGCAGGACGTGCTGTCCCCAGCCCCTACGTGCCCTGCTCCCCCCAGCCACGCAGGCAGGTGCTTGCGGGTGGTGGGAGCGCAGCAGAGATGCTTTGGGCTCCGCGTTTGGATTTTGTGACAACGTCCCTAATAAGCTGCGGTGCTTCTCAGCCTGGGGAAACATATGGGCTCATCAGCCTGCCTGGATGAGTTAATACCCCGCTGCCAGATGGAGCCAGGAAGCACGGTGGCACATGCAATTAGCAGAGAAATGTATGGTGTTTTTTTTTTTTTTTTTTTTTTTTTTTTTCTGAAAAGCGAGTTTGCTTCGGAGCCCTACCAATAAAAGGGGCTCAGCTGAAGATCCATCTGCAGGAATTTTCCTGAACCTGGGGTAGATCTCAATTGATTCGAATCGCCTGACAATTTTTCTGCTTTCTTCCTTTTCTCACTGATAAAGGCACTGGATTAACTAAAACTACAGAGCGTTAATAAATACCATGTTAGCACCAAACCAGTGCTTTAGCACTGGCCACAGAGGTCATGTGAAATTCAAAACATACCTAAAAGATAAAGATTGCTAATGCAACTAGCACTGTATTCATTGTCATGTTTTCCTTGAGTGCTGTTGGCCTAATCACTAACATCAAATTTAAGCACGTCTTGTCTATTTTCCTTACAGAAAGACAGATTGAAATGCCAAAAATACCCCTATGCAGATTGTGTAGCACCGTAGAGGGCCAAAGCAGCCCGTAACTGAAGGAAAATTACTGATTGAAAGTAAACAACTGAATACAGTGACAATAAAGTATCACTTGTCATAATGCTACATATAATGTAGAGTACGCAAAATGCAGTGGTTTGACTGCAGGATTTAACAATAAAAAATAAAAATAGTAAAAGCAGCCTTAATATAATGATTTTACGTACAAAAATATTAAATCAAAATAAATAATTCCAAACATAAATATTATACTGTACATTAAGAATATGCGATCTATATACACACATAAACAGATAAAAAAGTGGAAGGCAGAGGTATTGCATCGCTATCCTTCATCCATCTCGTCTCCGCGGGCTGCTCCCAGACAACCTGCAAAGCACAGACGAGGAGCATGTCAGAGTCAGGCCATCAGTTTTGCCTTCAAAACCTGTAAGTGGTGAGACCAGCGTGGGATCTGAGCTGAGGCAGATGCCAGCAAGGTGGAAACGTGCTTCCCTTTGACAGCATCACTCCCATGGGCATTACTGGGAGCACTGGAGCTGCTCCTGCTGCCCAGGGTGCGCTCGCTGGCCCCATGTAAGAAGCCCCTCACAAAGGAGTGTGCGTCCATCAGTCCCGTGGGACTTTTCAGGCATTTTTCAGATTATCACTGGAGCAAGTCTCCAGAAGATGTGCCCCAGACCTGAGTGATGAGCTGGCTTTGGGGAATGGGAGCTGGATGCTTTGCAGCCACTGCCTGCTGTGTGTCTTCAGCAGGACATTTTGGGGAGGATTCCCCTTTGCTCTCGGCAGGGCACTTACCATTGCTATAACACCTGGACATCGAGGCCTGTTCCAGACGATGGAGTACACTTCCCACAGTAACCACCGCATTTTCCCACTACTTTGGTACCATCCTGCAGGCAAAAACAGAAGCAACATCTCATGTAAGGGCTTAAGAACTCCAGGCTGTGAAAGAGCCAAATCTGGGTTACTCCAGCCAGGGCTTTAATAGAAAATGTCTTGGAAGAAAAACAAACAATGCCTAAATCAATCTGCAAAATTACAGTTATATTTAAATGTATGCAAATGTAATTCCCTTTAGTACTGCCAGGTCAGATGGTGAACACAAATAAGAAAGGGTACTTTTGATTTATTACACTGCAAGATGCCCAAGGAGAAGGCCATTTGGAGGGATATCTCAAGGACATCTGCTTTCTCCAATCTGCCCTACAGTGAGTAACTGCTTGTTCCACTGTAATGAGTGGAAAACTTGGATCACGAGAGAGAAATAACACATCTAGACAAGAACAGCACCTTGGTGGTGAGCGAGCATGTGAAGGACACAGAGGACATTTGCAGACATTACCGAGAAACATCTATTTGGAAGGTAAGAGCTGGCGTGCCTCCAGAGCAAGGACATGATGGGGATGCGGTGAGGCTGTGCCATGTGCTATGGTGCTGTTCCCCATCAGCTCTGTACCTCCAAACCCAGAGGAGACCCAGGAAAACGCAGTCCTGGGCTGGCCAGGTCTCCAGCAAGCATGGGGTGACTCAAGTCACAATTGATGCCAGCATTGGCAACACCTCCATCTGGCCTTCCTCACCCCACCTCTGCACAGGCTTTCTCCTCTTGGTGACTACCATGGACAGACAGTCCTTGAGGGGAATTCAACCCTCAATTTTCAGAAAATTGGGCGTAAGTGCAGGACAAGCTCACACAAAGCATTTATTTTTAGGCGAGCTCCTTCCTGCCCTTGACACTATCGATCTGTGATTGCAGCAGGCTGCTATCATCTCTTCTCGCTGTCCCTTCCTTTCTTCTGCTCCTGCTGGCAATTAAACCCCTGGAGCAGCGCTTGACAGATGCCACTGGGTGAGGGAGGTAAGAGCTGTCTCTTAGCCTCCCTCGGCCCTTAAAGCTTGTTTTAATTCTGCCAGCCGTGATTGTGTCTGCCCTCTGCAACCCCGAAGGTGGCCGCCCGAGCTTCTCCTCTCTGAAGTGGAGAAGAACAGCAAAGCGCCAGCCAGAACTAACATACGGGGTCTGTGCAAGTCCTCTTACACCTGCACCAGGGCACAGACCAGAAGGATCCAACCCCTCTGCTGAAAAGGCTCCTTTACTAGCCCCAGTACTGACAAGGCTCATGGGCTCGAGGCAGCCCAGGAGAGGACATTTTACAATCTGCTTCTTGTTAAAGGGCTGCAGTGACCTCTTTAGGACAGTTTTAACAGGGGCAAATGTTTTGGGAACAATTCCTTCCCAGGGTGCACGCTTCATCCCCACTCAGCATCCCTGCCCCAGTGCCCCCAGCCCTACCTGCCACAAAATGCATACACTATGCCCACTACCAAAGCCAACTAATTACAGATAGGTCTGCCCCACAGCACTCACAGTGTGCAGATGCAAAGCTAAGCAGGCTCACTAATTAACTGCAATAACCTGGATCAAGTTAAACCCACTAACATCCTCCCCACTACAATTATGGGCAACACTTTGTTTCTAATGATCGATGTCAGATTTTTGTTAGCATCTAATTGGAAGATGTTGTCACAAAAGATGATGTGGCCATTAGAAATTTCCCACGAGAGGGTATAACCGTAATTAAAATTGCAACTTACTGGGGATTTCTGAATTTCCGACACTGCGTAATTCCCTTGTGAGAGCCACTTTGCTGTTCCCGTTAAGGACAGGCCTGTCCCATACAGGTCTATGCTGAAGCGACCCTAAAAAGCAAGCAGACAAGCCTGGTTATCCCAAAGCCCCATGCCTCAGCCACACTTGCCACAGCATCACTTCTCTAACAGGATTGTGTCAGCAATGTTTCCAATTTTTCCATTGCTCTGACAGTAATTAGCACATAGTGTACAAATCACAGCATGTCTCAGGTCAGGAATTTCATTTTCATTTGTGGCTGCAAGGAAGGAGGGGCTTTTGCTTGGTTTTTCACTGCTTTTGCTCTTTTCCGCTGCTTTTTCGTGGTTTGCCGATTGAGGGCATTCTTGGCTTTTCCACGGCAAGCTGCGGAGCCTGATGTGCTCCAGCGGCAGATGGAGAAGGTACCCCAGGAATGTGCTGCAGCTGCTCTCACTTCTCCCTCCTCAACTGGAGAGGGCACACTTGTCCTTTTTTCTGTACTTTCCACTGAGCCTTTTTTTTTTTTTTCCCCAGACTTCAGTAAAATCAGAACTCTTTCATTTATTTCTTAGAAATGTCCTTCACTTCATTTCCCCCCATCTCAAAATGCACAAAATGGATAGAAAATTCAGGGCTATGACTGCATCCACCTGAGATCCCCTAGAAGACCCCAGCCTGGCCCATTTTGGGATCTCTGGGCACACCCCAAAGCTGACCCATCGTTGTACCAGGTGACTCTGCGCTTTGCTCCCCATGATCACCACCCTGGCGATGGAGATGCTCTGCGAGGAGCGAGCTGCCTGGTCAGGAGGATGGGCATTAACATTCATGAGCCTTCCTGAGGTAAGAAGGCAATCCCTAAGCTGCTGAGCCGTGCAGAAAAGTGCCAGAAGGAGATGGAGAGGTTTGCCCTCTGCCGCCTTTTGCTGCAGCTCCTCACCTAATGCCCTTTGCCAACAAGGTCTGCATAGTCCAAGGTACTGGGCAAACACATCACTCATCATCCCCCAGCTCCACAAAAGCGAGGTGTGCCAAGGACAAAGAGCGAGCCACCTGTAGCACGGTGTTAATTAGTCTCCTAATGACTTTCAAGAGCACATATTTCTTCCAAGCAACTGAGCTTGACATCTTGCATTACCTCCCAAAGCCGCTGAGGATGTGACTCAGCCTGTGCCCGGCTGCTCTCCCTACCTTCAAACACACATGCACACAACAGCCCTTCTCCCAGCCTCATTTCTTCTGCTTTTTCTGCTTTAATGGTGACTTTCTCAGCACCCTCAGGGGCAGTAGGCCCTGGGAGATGTCCCTTAGCTAGTTCTGCTGCTTGTCTGATAACACCCTGGCACCTTCCTAAAGAAACGGGAAGAGCGGCCAAAGGGAAAAGTTTCTGACTGCTGATTTGAGAACGGGACACTCACTGGAGTCTGCTTGATGTGATCAGCAGTAATTAATAGAGGGCCTGGACATGACAAATGGCACCAATTCCTGTGAAACGCTATTGTCAAATACCTGCGGGCATTTGGCTGCGCTGTAGCAGTCCCCAGCAGTGGCATAAGGAACAGGTCGTCCATCATGCGTCCGTGCAAAGTGTAAGTCAGTTGCTGTGGAGAAGAGTTGGTGAATAACATGGCAAGAAAGACGCAGGGAGAGACAAAATACATGTGAACATGTTCTTTGCTAATGTTTGAAGTCACTAAAGCTCATTTCACGCATTAATCTTGAGAGTTGAGACCTCATCTGCTGGATTTTTAATATTAAATCCCCAGTTCATCCCACACAACTCCCAGCACACTAGGACTGAATTTCACAGGACCCTCATATGCTCAGTTTTATGGTTGGGTTCAAGATTTAGGGCCTAGGTATAAATAACAACAAAACCAGAACCTATGCCTTTCCCTTTATTTCTCTATCGGACAATTTCCCATTTTGATGGGGCAACTTCTAAACCTTCCTTTTGAACAAAGCCAAACAACTGTCCCCAGACTGCCCCTAGCCTGGGTGCTCCAGCTCAGGTGTTCAAAGGGATTTGAGGTATTTTGCAGCGATCTGAAGTAAGTGAGACTCCTTTTGATGGGGATGCAAGATAGCTCCTCCCTGACAGAGGTGGGTGCCCAGCTCCTTTTGAAATGCAAAGGGAGCTGGTATCAGATTCCCTGAGGGTGGCTCCTAGGAGCTTTTACAGACTATTAGAAGCTTTTTACAGATTAATAGATGGTGAGGTCTCATGTCCTGAAAATAAAGTGATAAAAAACCCTGTCACATAGAGAGTCATTTTACAAGGAAGGCCTTTGATTTGCCAAAAAACCTCTGCTATTTACTGAATGAACCAGCAACAATTTGTTGCATTTTAAAAACGTTTGCTGGAAACTAAGAGCATCCTTGGAGCCAAGGGGACTGAAACTGTACCTGAGCAGTGGGGATACCTCCCAGCTCCCTCGCATGCTGGGTCTCAGGGTACCACTGGTGTTGCACAGCTACAATTACCTTCCCCTTTGCAAACCCACAGCCCCCTCTCCATCACTCTCAACACCAGTTATTTTACCAGGTCTGACTCTGCCAGGAGCCTCTTTCACCTTCCTACTGCCCCAAGGCTGGCACCGTGCATCTCTGATGTGCTCGGGCTGCAGCCTTTAAGTGCAAAGGTGACCAGGTCCAAAAGCAGCTTTTAATAGGAGAGCTCAGGAATAACCTTCACTAGCCTACTTCTGCTTGCTTGTAATTACAGCTACATTTATGTAAAATAAACATTGTTTTTTAATGGCAAGGCCCTGTTTTTTACTCACTTATTATTTGCATAGTGTTCAGGTCCAGCCTTACTTTGCTGAAGGTGGAAAACCCAGCTGCTGTGTAATCTTTCCTACACTGGCAGTCTTCTCGTCTGCTCCCGTTATATGGACACTCAGTCGGGTTATGCAATCTAAATCAAAAGAAAACCCTTTCTACTCATGACAGGAAAATATTGCCATAGCAAACAAAAACATTGAAAAGCTCAGAATTAAAGGGATTTCTTACCTGTATCCATACACTTCTGAAAAATTCTCTGCATCCCCATTTACAAGGGTCACGTACTCCTTTGGGCTGTCAGTCTGCATCCCAGAACAATACACCTGAAAGAGAGAAGCCGTAATTTTGTCAGGCATCATGAGCAAAAGGAATGCCTAGAAAACTGGAGGTAGAAAATGCAAGTGGAAGTGAGGAGCACACGCAGGGTCCTCTTGCACCTTTGGGAAATGCATAAACCATCAATCTGTTGCTGAAACGCACCTTTAATGTCTTCCCTTTGACTTTAAGGAAATATTCACCATCATCAGTGACACCTTTGAGACTTTTAACATCTTTGCAACTCCTTGGTAATTCACCTGAAACAAAACAGAAATACTTACAGTCACTGAGCAATGGTACATCAACATTTCTTTTACGAGACATCTACAGCCTCAAGACAAGATGTTTATTTTTAAGAGAGCTCCCTGAAGTGCCTTAGTGCTTTGTTGGATGGCCCCAGCGCTTGGAAATACAGCTCATCTCCGTGAGTGAACAGAAGTTCAAGGTGCAAGAAAAGGAAAGAAAGGTGCAAAGCTGCAGACTCACAGTCATGGACGTTGTGACACATCCTCCTCTCTTCGGGTTTCAAATCCGCATGGCACAAGCTGCTGAGCTGGTCATCATTTGTCAAGCACTGCACTGACCGGTGCATGACTCCAACGCCACAGGTCACGGAGCACTGCAAGACCAGACAGAGGTTCCTATTTTATCTCAAGGGCTTTTGGGCTCTGGACTAGAACAGAGGCAGCCAGTTTCCCTTGTATAAAGAGACAGCAGCAGAGGTCCCAATCCCACAAAGGCTTAATTTTAATCAGACAAGTAGTCCCTTTGATTATTTAATCCTTTCTTTATTATCATCATCCTTAATTATTTCAAGAAGACTATACTTCACTTAGCACTTACATACTTTACTGTTTGAGACCTGTGCTCAAGCAAAAATGTTCGTTTTGCAGGAGGAAGGTTGTGCAAGGAAGAAACGTTCACCAGAAGTGGCATAGAAGTGCTCCCCTGCCACTGACAGGCCTCTGAGCAACCATGACAGAGTTTGTTGTCTTCTAATTGTACCAAAAATACACAGCCTGCAAGCTCTATTCCTCATCGTCTGGAAAAATGACTAAACTGTGCAAATTCTGGGTCATCCTTCCATGGTCCAAACCAAGGCTGCAATACCAGAGGCCACTGGAGGTCCTGAGCAGCTCAGCCCAGCTGGCTGCTGCAGGAGGCCACAGGGTGACCTGAGAACTGAAAATCAGCTGAAACAGGCACCAGCTTAGGCCACCAAGAAAATGAGGGTGCTCATCTGTTTGGAAATGCTTTGTGTGCATCAGCACGCCGTGAAGGAGACTGCCTTCAGCAGCTCGCGCCATTCGCAGCTTGGCGTTTGCTCTTTATCAGTTCCACATCCATAAAACCTCACGATGGAGCAGAGCAGCACGCTCTATTTGTCCATCAAAGGTGATGGTAATTTACACCGAACCCCTCAGAAAATCAGAGGTGAGAAGGGTCACGGCACTTTGTAGTCCCTGGGATGTTCAGCAGCCCCAAGCAGGGATAGAGATCTTGCTCTCTGAAATGGATACTCTTCTCGACAGAGGTGCGTTAACGAGTTGGGTATTTTGTGCTGAAGTTCTGGGGGGAAATGCCAATTAATCGAGGCTGAGCTCTTTGCTGTAACTCCTCTGCCCTGACTCGCAGGGAGGATCTGAGGCTTCCTGTGGGGCGCGAGGAACTAAGGTTTCAAACAGCTCTGCCATTTACTGTGACAGCTTCCACTGCATTTTGCTTGACTTGACCCTCATTGCCTTGTAAAGGTTTGACAAATTCCTACAAATGCCTGAGCTGGGTTAATAAATCAAATTTATGGGAGAAACACCACATTTCAAAGAATGTCAGAAGCCCAAAGAAGTGAAATGTTATCACCTTAACTAAAATCTGATCTTGTAGTTCAGGCCCCAGAAATGGGTCGGCACAAATAACTTTTACAGAAAGGTTAAGTTCCTTCCCCTGCCCTGTCCCAGCATTTGGAAGGAGGAGGAAGAAGGTGGGGGGAAGAAAGAAAAATCCTTTTAAGGCTCAAATTACCCATCTTTTGGCCTTCTGCTGGCTCCCACATCTTGCTCACACACACGGACAGGCAGGATCAACTCCGGCTGCCAGCTATACATCACTCCCGCTGCTCTGGAGCAAGGGGTTCAGACCCTTTTTTGGCAATGACCCCACTTTCTGACTAAGCATTCAGTATGGCCCCAAATTTTAGCTACATCTGAATTTTTATGGAGATAATGACTTTCATGGCTGCTGTAAATCCCCCATACGATGGGGTTCAGCGTGGAGCAGCGGGCCCAACGCTCACCCTACAACACACCACGGCGTTTGGTGTGTTCATCTACACAACTCTTCAACATCCCCCTGCCAAACCTTAGGAACGTGCCCCCTGTGTAACAAAATAAACATACATATAGATAAGTTTGCTCCAGTTTCTTTTGGGTAAAAAAAAATAAAGTCACTAAACTTACGCTTCCCCAGTTGCCAACACGCCAGGAGGCCGAGACGGGGCACTCGCCGAGGTAGCAGGGCTGGATGTTGGGCGGCTGCGTGCCGGGGCAGTTGACCGTGTTCTGGTACCCGTACTCATAGTGGTCCTTGCCGGTGTAAATCTCGCTGCACGATACCAGGCGCTGCTTGTAGCCCTTGCCGCACGTGACGGAGCACTGGGAGCAGAGGAAGCGCCTGTCAGTGCTTCACGCTTGTGGTGAACAAGACAAGGTGCTGCGAGGGATCACCGATAACTATTTAACCCAGCCACAAGCACTGGCTACACGTGGCTGGGGTCTGACGCTGCCTTTGAGCCCCAGTGCCTCCCTGTACTGCTCCACGACCCCCTGCCCCGCATGGGCTCCAGACCACAAGTTCCCTTTCCACAAGCAAAGAGAGGAGAAGGGGATCCTGAACTCAGAAATGTCTCCATTATTGGGGTTTTCTTTCTTTCTTTCTTTCTTTCTTTTTTGGCCATGGGGTGCATAGAGAAAGAACACAGTTAGACTGACCCTGAGCTGCAGGTGCTTGGGAACAGCTGGAAAAAAGGGAAGGCTTTCCTTGTAAACTTCAGCTCTGCCTGCCCTCGCCCATCGCCTCATCTTCATGGGGCTGAGGGTGCACAGATGGGTTGTGGGCAGAGGGGCAGGGCTCATAGGCACCCTAATATTTCTCCCAAAACACCACCCAGGAGACTGGGCTGCTGGACACATTCCCATCTCCGCCTCTCGTCCTCCTGTGCTATCTCGGGCTGTGTGCCTCTCCTCCCCCTCACTCCCGGCATGTTTGCTTTTTCCCTTCTCTTGCTCTTTCTTTTTAATCAGTGCTGTGTCAGCAACTGCCTCATCACTTCCCTCTGCTGTTCCTCCGAGTGGAAACTAATCCTTCGCTCGCTGCAGAAGGAAACAGCCTAAGATTAGCCTGGGTCCTCCCGCATGGAGCGCCTGCTGTGAAGAAAACCCATCTATTTCCCTTGCCAAGCCCTCTCCCAGTGTGAGAGCAAATCTGACACTGAGGAGGATGTGTCCCCATGGTCACATCCAGGCGTGCCTTTCCAGACATGGACCCTGCACCAGGCTGCAGACTTGTAGAACCCCGGAGATCCCAGGATGAGGTGGGAATAATAATAATAAATAAATAAATAAATAAATAAATAATAATAATAATAATAATAATTTTTAAAAAAGGCTCAAAACCAAGGAGGGTGCCTGCTGGATGTGATATGCTTTGGGAGAAAATTCAATATTTTATTGTCTCTTGCAGTCCTTCTCCACCTGTCCAGCAGGGAAATTGCACGGAGAAGCAAACCAACAAATAATCGCTTAACCACGCAGCGCTGCCCTGCCACCTTTGATTTGGGTTGCAATATCTCAGCGAGGCTGGCGGCGAGAGGAGGAGGGAGCGGTGGGGACAGGGATGGGGACGGGGACAGGGACTCACCTCCGACCACTCCCCGGTAATCCAGACGTACTCGCAGGGCGGCAGCTGGCAGCTCTCAATCTCGGGGGGCCGTTTGCTGGCGTCGCAGTAGGCGCTGCTCTGCTCCTGCTTGCTCTCGTCCATGCAGACCACCTTGCGGTACCGAGACGCCTCGCCGCACGTCTTCACGCACTGCTCGCGGGAAACAAGAGCTCACCCAACGCACCAGGGACTGCAGCAAATCCACCCGCACCCCCAGACCGAGTACATCCTTCTCCCACCAGTCCGAGTGAGCCTGTGGCTCTGGGCTCAGTGTGGGCATCTCGTGGTATTAATTGGGGTGAATCTAAGGATGATTGTGACAAATTGTCCCTGATGCAAGGAGGTGCCAAGGCAAAGTGTAGGGATGGGGAGCAGAGTATGGATGGGGCTGCTGAAGGATCCAGCTGTGACAGCAAAAAGAGATGCAGAGGGGCCACGCCAGGACAAGGGGGGGAAAAAGGGGCCAAGCCCCATCGTTTTGTCCCCTACTAAATAGAGCTGCTGGGAGAAAGACAAGGCAGCTGCCCCATGCATGACACAGGCCGTCACGCCCCTCATTGTGCCTTGTGAGCACCCTTCTGCTTCCTTTCTTTTCTGAGCGCTGCCCTGACCCACGCTGAGAGCGACCCAGGCTGTCCGAGCACAAACGCTCCCCGAGGTCTTCTGGGGACATGAAGGGCTCGACTCTTCCTCTGTGCATCTCAGAAAAACAGCCTGGCTGTGAGGCTGTGCCTGCCACCCGCGAAGCCCTTGCAATGCTCCTGGGAGCAATTTGTCTTGCAAAAAATACAAATAAAACGAAATAAATCACTGTACGCTGACTGTCCCAGTAAAACCATATTTTCTTAACGTTCTCATCTGTAATAGGCTTCTAACGCTTTCAACTAACTGGATTAACAAAGAGAAAAATGCATGAAAGCACTCATTTTATGGAGCGTGCAGGGAGCTTCTTGCCCTAAGGAAAGGATAAGACGTCCAACCAGACCTTCGCTATCAGCACAGGAACACTGTTTGAAGTCACCTATGCTTGTAGGACCGTGTCAGCTTTATCTAGTTACAGCCTCGCCATCCGAACACTGCTTTCAGCAACCTGAAGCAGCTCCTGCTCTCCTGGCTCACCTGCAATTAGCAAGATCTTGGAGAGTTCACCTAATTGCAAAACGCAGGAACCTCAGGCCCTGCTTTCTGTAATTAGCTGTCAGGATGAAGATGGCAAATTATTTGAGGGCTTTAAAAATCCAAATCAATACACAGCATAATATTTGTCGTAAATACCCAGTAAGCACGCAAGCCGGGGGGGCAGGAAGGGGAGCCAGCCCAACAAAGCAGAGCTTATTCCAAAGGAATAACTCAGCAGCTCTTAGGCAACAGTCAGCACTGCAAAATCTGCAGTTTGCCAGAAGACCCCAAGGGCTTCGTGTGCTTTCAACCTTATTTACTCTCTTACTCTAAGTCCTCGCAGTGGAAGTCGCTTCTAGGTCTGTGCTGAAACACGGCGGTGCTACGGGGGCTGGAGGAATTTGCTGGAGAGTGATTTAGCCAGAGAGCAAAGAAACTTTGCTGTATTTGCCCATCTCTGATATGTTATGTAAGGAAAACATGGAAGTGGGTTATTGCAAATAACCCACGTGGCTTCCCTGAGCAGGCACTCACTGCAGCACAGCATGGCTACGGGATGCCCAAAGCTCCCTTGATCTCATGTTTCCCCTTCCTCACGTAAATTTAAGCCTAAATTTGATTAACTTTAGGTGGGTGAACAATCTCTTTGTTGTGAAAGGGTCTTCTGACACTGGCCAGGACCAGCTCTCACATCCCAAATGAGCCCATCCTCGTTTAAAACCATTGACTGCTGATGGGAGATTGGCACTCTGAAACATATGCCACCCTCCTTTGTTTTTCCTCTGCAAATAATGGTCATATGGATCACTAAAGCTGCGCCAGCTCTGCACATCTTGCTACCATCAGTTAATTGAAGTTTGATTATTTGTATTTTGGGGGATAATTGGCAATTAAAATAATTCCACTGAGATATTAAATACAGTACAAAGACAGAGAGACCATAATAAAACAATTCAAAGAAACATTGCAGAGGTTCCAATCAGCCACAGCAAGGTTATAAAACATAACTCCCAGAGAAAATGGGCAGCTCAGCTAGCACAGAAAGGTTGTTTTTGTCCTTTGGAATGGGGACAGATTTTGTATGAAATCTCATGTTCGTGACCGATTGAAATCTCACAGAAAACAGCAGCAGCAGGGGTCAACAGGGATGGACAGCAAGAACTTCAAAACTGGCTAGGCATGTGACAGTATTTGTCTCTTTTGCCCCATTTCCCAAAATCTGAATTGTTTTCCTGGCAGTTCAAATTAAGGACTGTTTCAAGCAGCTCTGCAGCTATTTTAGACAAGTAATAATAACAAAAAATTTTAGAATCCCAAAGGCATTGCTTTGTGCAAGCATTCATTGTGTTTCTTGTTTTTTTTTTTTTTTTTTTTTTTTTTTTTTTTTTTTTTTTTTTTTCCCCTAAATCTAACTCTGAAACACAGCTGGGAAGAAACCCCACTTCAGACATCCCCTGGGTGACTCTGGAATCCAAATCATGCAAGGATGGCTTAATTTTCCCCCAAAAATAAAATGTCAAAGATTCAAGAATTACATTGCAGTTTCCAGAGCTGGGCACTGTCCCTCCCCACAAGCTCATGTAAAAAATCTCTCTATCCACCACTTTCCCCTCTTTCTCTCTGACCCTGCCCTCAGCTTTACTCTGACATTACCCAGGCCCCTTCTGCTGATGTTCTCCCTGGTGTGGGCACAGCTAATTAATGGCCATACCATAACAGATCAGTAAATGGTTCCCAATAAGTTCCCTTTTAATTTTCATCAGCAAAAATGAACTTTTTCTAAACAACAACAAAATGGAGCAATAAAAAAAAAAAAGAAAACCTCTTGACATATTCCCTTTAAAGATAAGAAATCAAGAACAAGACAGTGCTGGGATGTTATTTTGCATCCTGCCTTTCATGTCAATTAGGGCTCATTGCTCAGAGAATGCTAATGCAATCTGTGTCTCCTCGCTACAGATAACTTGCAGCCAGGGCTTATGGCTGGAGAGGAGGTGAAGTTGCTTCGGGTGCATCAGAACAAAATAAGAAGTGCTCTGAACTGTTTGGGATCAGCCAAAGGGGGGAGCTCGCATTGGGTGACGCTTGCATGTTTCTATTACCCATCGTTTATGGATGAGGAAACTTTCAAGTCACCCCGCTAACAAAGCTCCCCTGGAATAAAAAGCTGGGTAAAACGTTAAGGATTTCCTTGGTGCAGTGCAGAGCCCTGGGGCTCCCCTGGGTCCCCCCCTAGGGCTTGGGGTTGGGGCAGGCAGGGGACTCTCACCACTGGGTTGAGAAGCTGCAGAACTAAGGGAAAGGGGACCGAGGGATGGGGTGGGAAAAGTGGCATTTTGACTCAGACGCAGCGGAGGGGAGGAAGCTGAACTTGTCTGCGATGTCCCGGTGGGGCCGAGGCGCAGCAGCAGGTTTGTTGGATCAGCAGCAGCGCGCTGAGCACGAGCCAGCAGGGAAGGAAAGGCTTCAGGAAAGCACATGCTGCTTTCACAGAGATTTCTTTTTTTTTTTTTTTTTTTTCTGGCTGCAGTGCTTGTTGCATAAAATGCTTTTTCATTCATCAGTAAATTGTCTTTTCTTATCCTCCCCCTCTTTTACCTTCTTCTCTTTTTAAATAGGGGCTCTGGAAGTGTCTGAACAGCAAGACTTTGCACTGGCAGCACCTCCCCATCCTTTGTTACTGGAGCTGGAGGCCCTGTTTTGCATTTCTACCACCTGGGCAGGGGAAGGCATCTCAAACAACTTTGTCCTGCTTCAGGATGCCCCCCCTGCGCAATTCAGGAGCAATATGAAAGCAGTCTGAGTGCCAAGGAAAGCCGAGCCCCTGCTTGATTAATGTTTGTCCTGATCCCCAGCTGGGGTGAGGGCTTCTTGCCTCCAGGACAAAGGCATCCCTAGCATGGATGTGAGGAGTGGATGTGTCCTGCACCACCAGAGGCAGCTCCCCCAGAGCTGGTCCCATTCCCAAGGCTGGCAGCACCCTGCACCGTGAGGAGGGGCCTGGGAGAGCGGTCCTTTGTCCTCCAGCCACTCACCTCCTCCTTCCCCAAGCGCTTCTGACCCTGCCCAGCCTCTCCTCAATAGCAATTTGGGTAGCCACGGACCGCTAGCCACCTTCTGAGGACCACCAGCACACCACCAGCCCATTCCCCAGGACCACCAGCAGGCAGCTGGGCGCACGCAGCCTCTGGCCATCCATCACCTGCACTGCCGGGCGCTCTCTGAGCCACCCCAGCTCTGTCCCTGCTCCAGGGTGGCTTTGCTGGGACTGATTCTGACCACCATCACCCCTGGGAGACCTCATTTCCACGCTGCCCTTGCTGAGCAAGAAGCTTTGGCAGCATCTGGGGCAGCTCAGTGACAGCAGCAGCTGTCAGATGGAGCTGGGGGAGGAGGGACGATCACCAACATCCACCAGTTCTTTCAAGAAGTCTTCCAGCCGAGGAGCGTCACAGCCCAGCTTCACGAACCAGACCCAAAATCCGCTAAATATTTGCATAAGTCCCAGCCAAACACAGGGCAGCATGAAGCAAGAAACTAACTCTACCGGGGTATTTCTCCACTCCCCCTCCAGCAGAGCGCGGAAAGGGGCACAGCCAGGGTGCATTAGCATCTCTAACTTTTTTTTTTTTTTAGCAAGCCCTGCTTGCAACCCCAAATCCCCACTAAAAGGAGGGCACAGGACCCAGACCCCCACCCTCCTCCAGCATCGTCTCACGCTCGAGAGCCCAAGGGAGGCGGCGCGGGGGGCCCCACTTACCGCTTGCCATTCACCCGCTGCCCAGCGGTGCGTGGGGCACTCGGGGAGGTGACAGTCCCGCTGTGACGGAGGCCGGCTCGCCGGGTCGCACGCTGCTGCCTCGGCTGCTGTCGGGGAGCCACCGTGGCAGTGCACGGAGCGCTGCTGGACACCACGGCCACAGGACACCGAGCACTGGAGGAAGGGATGAGAGGTGAGTGGCGGTGGCCGTGGGGCTCGCTCCCTGCTTTGCCTTTGGCAAGGTGCAAACGCCGGAGCTGAAACTTCCAGGCATTTTGCACCGCTTGCTTCACGAGGGAAAATGTTTGCAAGGGCAGAGCAGAGGCTGGAATTGCTGCTTCGCTGAAGCCAGTGGGAATTTTGGCCTCTAAGATAGGAGCGCCGTTAAATCGCAGCAAACCAGAGGCAGCACGGCTCCGTGCGTTATTTCTCATGCATTCTTAACAAAAAGGAAGAGTTCAAAGTACATCGGCTGCCACCAGCATCATCAGAGTGGGCTTTAAGGAAAAGCAAACTTGAATGATACAGAAGGAAAGAGTGCAGCAACAAGGAGGTAAAGTTATACAGCCGGAATTCCTTTCAGCATGCATATAAACATGCACAGAAGTCAGGACATGCTGTATCATTGTGAAAGCAAATGTCTTTTTTTAAATTAGCTGCTTTCTCCCCCCTCCCCCCACATTTCCTTCATTATACTGTGGGCACATTTCTGCCCACTTCTAGGCACAGCGAGAACAGCCTGAATTTCTCTGTCTCAGACGTCTTCAAATTATTTTCTGCACTGCAATGCTTTTAACAGCTTGGGGTTTTTTTTGTTTTTTTTTCTTTCACTCAACATTTCTTATTGTTGTGACTGCATAATGTAGCATGTTTAGCAATACTTAACTTCTCTCTGCTATGGATTCTTTCTTGCTAGATGTTAAAGTTTATTATGGAGGTGTGGAACAGAAGGGATCGGTGTTTATAAAAGAAAGTGTGCAAAAATCAAAGGCGTTCATTTAAAACACAGCTATTACTATTAACTTTTGCTGAATTAACAATTAGTATAAGCATCCTTATTAATATATTAGGAGGGACTTAGCAAATGAGATTATGGCCCAGTATTTCAACAGCCACCAAAGTGAACCTTCTCAAGGCAGGGAATTTAGCGGCGCATAACAGGGGAGCAATTCTCTCCTGTCTAGTTCTGGGGAGTATTTCTCCGTAATGCTTCGCTATGCAAATACCCCATAAAGCCAAAAGGACCTCAGAAAGCTGACTGAAAACTTTCAGCTGTCTTCAGAGATTTGTAAGGTGTTTTTTTTTTTTTTTTTTTTTTTGTGTGTGTGTAACTTGGAAAGCAGCAGCTAGATTTCTGTCACTGCTGATGCAAATGCTTCCCATATGCTGCGCTGCCTCCCTGTGATTAACAGCGCTGTTTGTCCTCCGCATTCCACACGGGATGCTTAAACTGAATAATGGCAACAAACTTGCAGAATCATACACACCAGGATGCAAACCATGCTCTAAAATGCCTTTCGGTTTGCATTTATCACCCACCTAAGAAGCATGGGTCCGGGAGCCCCGTGGTAAGGGAGGTGAGCTGTGCTGGGGCTCTCCAGCACCGGTTTGGAGAGTGGGATGGTGGTCCCTGGTGGTGTGAGGCTCCAGGTAAAGTCCTCAACTTGTTCTGCTGCATGCTCAGGGCGAAACTTTCCCCCCACCATGAAGCTGAGGAGGATAAATGCTGCCACCCAGCCCCATCCGCAGGTGGCTGTGCCATGGGAACACTGTACCGGTGCAGGGAGTGAGATCCCTGGGACCCTGGGCCGGGGCTGCTGTGTCCTGAATGTCCCTTGGGAGAGATGTGCAAACACCCTCCTGCAAAGAGCTTTTCCTTGGCTACTTGGCAGCGGGCACAGAGAGGCTTCCCCTAGCCAAGGGCTCAAAGGCTCTCTCAGGGCACGCGGCGGCCCAGGCACCACAGTGCCCTCAGCGCTGCCATGCCCCGGTAGCATTTACATCGGGCTTCGAAATCCCAAAGAGGCATTACAGAGGCATGAAAAGGCAATGTCTTCAACCAGTTTCATCCCGACTGCTTTAATCCAGAATACTGGTCAGTGACCTGTCCTGGGCAAACACAGCCAGCTGGCTCTGCTCAACGCTACAAGCAGAGCGGGCCTGAAGCTATGCAGGTTGGGGCAGCCAGCTTGTGCTGTCCCCGCATATTCCTTCCCCTATGGGATGCCAGGAGCCAGGCAGCCTCTTTGTCCTTCCTATGGAATCTATACATTTCCCTAGGGATGCTCCTTTTCCTACTGAGCAAGTCTACCAGCAAGCTGCAGAGCGCTAGCGCAGCCGTGGAGAAGCTCTACGTTGTGAAAACACAAGGCAGGATTTCAGCCTGTAGCTGAAATATGTAAATGCCAGACAGCAGAATAAATATTGGTATTTTTACTAAGTGAAAGGTAAATGGCCATAATTGATAGCATTTAGGAGATACAAACACATTAAATCTGACATTTTGGTGCTAACACAAGCAAATTTAAACCTTGGAGAAAAAGACTTTTTTTCTTCCCTTCTGATTATTAAGAGATATTAAAAATGGTTTGCTGTAGGAGAGCAGATTCATAACAATCCAGAAAAGAATTACCTAGCCGCTGAATACAAAGCATCCAGAGAGAAAAGCACCTGGGAGCAGAGCACTTGGCTCAGACGACTGCTGACAGGGATTTGTTTTTAATCTTTCTGAAGCATTTCCCAAAAGGAAAAGGAGAAAAAAAAAACTAAAGGCACGTGCAGCACATGTTCTGTGCATTGACAGGGAGGATGCACTTGTAAAGGAAAACCTTGCCTTAGTTCTCACGCAGACTTTTGGTGGCTTACCCACAACCAAAGGTGCCCAGCTCTCAGCAGCTTGGCTTTGGGATTATTTTTACATGGCAGTCAGGCCTTCAGAAAGCTCATTTAATAATACCTAAAAGCAAACTGACCAGGATCCTACGAACAGCTCCAGCGTCACTGCTGATGAGGAAGGTGATGCCACACTTCCGTGCCCATTTAGATCCTGACCTACTGGCTAGCAGGGTGCTGAGCCCCTGCCTGTTTCATAGCCTCACCAACAAGTCTGGTATCTCCATCCAGCTCGGCGTTACATCTTTTGCAAAACCCCGCAAGCCGTGCACACCTCTTGCGGGGACAAGCACGCTCCTCTTAGATTTGGCAGAGGGTGCCCAAACTGCTGTCCTGTTTCCAACAAATGCTTTGGAGGAGAAACGGAGGGCAGGACCAAGCTGGTGGAACCACCGCAGCTGTGCTGCTGCCTCCTGGAGCCCCTCTGATTTTCCCACCCAAAGACAAGAGCTGAGTTGCATTCAGCACGCTGTGCTTCCTTCCAAACTACTTCTATTTCCTCTGAGGGAATAAAACATAATTAAACTACCCTGGGCAAGCTGTGTCCGCTGCATTTGGGGTTTGGCTTTGCTACTCATAAACGCTTTGAGGCCAGGGTTGATGTTGCAGTGGGTGCTTGCACGCCGAGCACCCGCAGCACCCTTGCTGTGGTGCTCAGAGTGTGCTGGGAGCGCAATGCCTGCTCCTCGCTGCTCATCAGCATACAAATATTCCTTAATTGCCTAGTCACAAGAGATTACCTCAGGCCATAAATCACCTCGTCCTCCAATTAAGTTGTGTTTCTTTCTCCACTTGCATAAAATTAACTCCAATCATGCGGAGGAATGTTGGGAATTTTGAAACACTTACTTTTATCAATTAAAATTAGCGCGTTTTAAAGCAATCGACAGACCATTACATTATTATGTTTACAATTATTAGCTGTAAAAAAAATTTGCTTTCAGCAGCAGTCACTTTAAATAAGGTGCAAATAGGATATGACAAGTGCATATAATAGCCTTCTATTTTCAATCTAGCTTCCTATATGAAGTTGAGGGTTTAGTCCCGCAGATAATAAAGCAGGGGGTTAATTGTCAACATGGGAGCAGTGCTCCCATAGGGTGGGTGCCCCGGGTGCTCTCAGTCAGTCCTGGTGTAAAGGACCTGGATCTCAGTAGCTGAAACTCCATGGTGAACATACACTTATCCCTTAACAAATACAATGGCAAACACTGCTATTGCATGAATTCGAAGGTAAGCATAAAAAATAAAATACAAGTCTGAAAACAATCATAAAACATCGATGGGTTTATTGCCTTTCTTAATAGTCGACATTAAACAACAATATGCTGTCCTAGTCCTAACGTTCACCTGTGTGCCAGTAGACATGTAAAGGATTTATCTTTTAGGGAACTTGCACACAGTGAGAATTGGTGTTTTGTACCTGAATGTAGAAGACAGATCGCAAGAGAACACGATGTTTTACAAGGTAACAGTTCATTTAGTCTGGGATTTTCAATAATTCTGCTGATTAGCACACTAATGAGGTAGACAGAGAATTGAGGTTCAGAGCTAAAAATGTGGTGCAGCAGATTCAAGGTGAAGACAAAGACATTATTTTCAGGAAAACAAGGATTCAAGATATGCTTTCAGCAAACAAGATGCTTAATAACTCCAAGCGCTTTTGCATTTCCAGCAGCCTCTGCTCTATGCATCAGTGCCTGACTTTTTAATGAAGCAAAATTAAGTGATGAGCTTATTAGGAAACAAAAGGTAGTGAAAAGCATTTTTAATGAACAGCTCTGACTGTTCTTTAGGCTTTCCCAGGAAGCTGATAATAAAATTAATTTCAGATTTCTCAAAACTGAGGAAGATTTTGCTTGGGATGTGACACATTTAAATAATGACAATATTAAAAACATGAATAAATAGTAGATTCTCTTTAATATTACATACTGTTGGCTTCTCTAGCCGGAGCTTAAAATATACAACAAGGAATTTGCTTTCAGTTATACACTAAAAACAAGCTGCCACGTTTTCAGCTGGTACAAATCAGTGCTGCTCCACTGCTGCCTATGAAGCTACACTGTTTTACGCCACCTGAGGAGCTGGCCCAAGACTTTTACCCTTGTAAAATTCAAGAGGACAGAAGTGACGGGAAAACCAGCTTCTAACCAACTTGACAGAAGAATATCAAAGGGTGCAAAAGGGTATACAACATGTCTCACCTGTCCCCAATCTCCTGATTTCCACTTCGGACATCTGCCCCCTCTGCATTTCTTTTGCACATTGGGCTTAGCAAGGTGCTTGCAATAATCGTCTTCTATATGCCTCCCTTCCTTTGTCAAACAGTACACAGTGCGGTGCTTTTGGCCCCTTCCACAGGAGACAGAACACTGTAAATATAAAGTAACAACAAATCAGCTCTCACGCAGGGCCAGCTACGCAGTTCCACATGGGCCATGACTACACAGGGCATTTTTGTTTCATCTGGACCGAAAAGCACATCCCCAGGCTCCCGGCAGCTCACACAAAGTTCAGAGGGGATACGGAGGGGCAGAACATAACCTGGAACTGGAAATGTTCCCATTTGTACTTCACATCTCATGTTTGTGGTCAAAGCCCCCCGAATGCCAATATCAAATTGAAGAAAAGAAGCTGGCATTCAGCAGGGACAATGGGCTTTGGGGCTAGATTCCTGGCACTGCTCCTGTGGTTTCAAAGGAGCAGAGTCATCTTATGGGGATCAAGGTGGGAGCCCTCAGTATCTGCTCAGTACTTGAAAGGGACCATTTCCATTTACCTTGATAAAAAAGGGGGTCAAATGTTGGTAAAACAGGAGAGTAAAGTGTGATATACACCTTCAGAGAGGGAAGTAACAGCACAGAGGACAAGGCAGAGGAGCAAAACGCAGTCTTTCCATGCTTGTTTTACCCTGTACCACTGTAGACTGATTTAATTTTTTTTTTTTTTCTTCTGAACAAAGACTGAAACCAGGACATGCTCATCCTGAAGATTTATGCATTTTGAAAACAACTCAGAAGAAGGCAGAGCCTGGAGAATCAAAGCAGAAAGGAAACCAGCAGGTATGTTAGCTGCAAGCTTTGTAGTGAAGCAACGAATTTCAACCTCCCTCTGCAGGTTCACTGAACTTTTTCAAATGTGACCATTTCTGGCATGCAAACCCCAAGCAACTTCACTTTGATTTCAGATTAGTCTCCTCCAAAAGATTTAGGAATCAAAGGGGTCTGGAATCACGACAAGAATTTAATATGACAGTTTCTTGTAGAACAAGCCTCTTACTCAGCATGATGCACCCAGAGACTCAGTTTCAATTTCTTCATTACACGTTATGCAACTCATTACGTACTGTATCACAGGCATCTTGGCTCAGTCCTTGAGCACAAACACACTGCTCCAACCATCTCTCCATATAAAATGCTCTGCTTCCTTTACAGAAAGGAGCAAACACGCAGAGATAAAGCTTCCTCCTTCTTTTTGAAGCTACTCCATCAGTATATTTGCTAAGAAATAAATTACAGCCCAAACTCTTCCCTGCCTATGAATACATTTGAAACCTAACAAACTACAGATTATATATGTAGCAGTTCTGGAAAATCCATTAGACCAGAAATTGGCACTTGCATTGACAGCCGTGATTATTTTAAATTACAGCACTACTTCCAAATCGCTCAGCCCCCATTGTGTTAAGAGGTATACAAAGAAACAGTGAGAGAGCAGTAACTTGCTCCAAAATGAAAAAGTTCAGGCAAACGTGGAGAGAAAGGGATGCAACTCATAAGATCAGATGTTGCTGCTTAAAAGCTTATGTAAAAGCTTTACACACAAAAGCAATGCCCTGAAAAAGGCAGTTTTCCTGTTGTAAGACCACTACCAGAGGTAGCCAACATCCCTTGAGGTCAATGGGATTTCAGGGACCTTTAGGAGGTCAGGGCAGGACCTGAAGACCAACATTCAACCCTGCACTGGAAAACAGAGGAAATGCTGTCCCTTTGTTCCAAAATAAGACTTTCACAAATCACTGAGTTTCATAAACTTCACTTTTTTTTTTTTTTTTTTAGTATCAATAGGAAAAAAAGATCGAGTTACTGTTATTCTACTTTTATAAGCCTTCAAATCTCATCAGGAGTTCATTTTTTCATTCTTTCAACATCTCTCCTCAGGCAACGAACATCAGCAATGAGAAGAAAACATCGAGTCCTAACAAACTAAGTTATAAACTTCTAATACGTCCACCCCTTTAGTGTCTTTGGGCTAAATGCCAAGAGTGGTACTTCAGAAAAATTCAAGTGCTCCTCAGTGCTCTCTGTGCAGGTCGACACCACTTTAAGGTGACAGTGAAAACTAAAGCATAAATTCACACGCTTGATCAGGGCTCTGTCTTGTCCCGCATCCTGAGACAGTAAAGCAAAGTGCATGCATTCTCTAATTTAAAAAACACATTGGGCCTGGTACTTATTGTAAAAGAAGAATAACATCGTTTTATAACACAAGTATGTTTCTAGGGACCTGAAGTTGTTTGATAAACATTTAATCTTGCAAATAATATGGTACCAGTAATTTCCAAAATTGCTACCCCCTTCTACAAATTGCTTACCTTTGGTGTGGAGCCAGATTCTGACATTTATCTTGGCATCCGATGCCATAACATCACAGGGCTACAGGCACATTTTGGTGCACTTTGAGGCTGAGACATAATCAGACTAATTTTGTTAATATTTGAATGTAATTCTCAAGATGCTGCAATTAATCATTTCTATGTCTGCCTTTAATGTACATTAAAGTTAGGCAGCTGTACGTTTTTAGATCTAAGACATCCCTTTGGTTTCACGCACATGTGAGTTATGATCTCATTTGCTCTGACAGACAATAGAGGCTGAACGACCTGATGTAACCAAGAAGTAGAGACCAACAATTCCTCTGCAAAGGGCCTACCTCGTAATTGCCTTCTAATTCTTCTCAGCTATTTCCAGCTTTTATTTGGCACGTAGATTTTAGGCATATGTGAGCCACATGCACAAAATAATTCGACAGTGCTTAATCTCACTGCCACGTGACTGAGGGGAGCAATGCACCTAGCTACTGCGGTCCCCTCATCAGTTACTTCTGACCCTGGAGGAACTTTGCATTTCATTAGCAGGGCTCTTTTCATCGCTGGAAACGCTTACGATATCTATCAGTAACAATGCCACGGTGAGGTAAGCGCTGACCTTGCCTTCTTTAAACATTTGAAAAGCACAGACAAAAACACTCCTCTCACCGACTCCTTTCGTTCTTTCTTTTTTTTCCTTCCCCCCCTCCCTGTGGAGAATACTTCAAAGTGCTGGGGGTGGACGGGTGGCTGGCTGTGGAACAGCAGCCTCATCCAGGGCTCTTTGAAGCCAACAGCAAGGCTCCTACTGCTTTCAGTTCCCTCTGGATCCAGCCCCGAAGGTGCAGCCAAGGTACTGTATTGACTTTGTTCACTGACCAGCTCCCTAGGGTCGGGGATCACGTGCGCTCGGACATGCCCATGGCCAGCCTGCCTCTGCCAAAATGCTTTAAAACATCACTCTGAAATGTTGTATCCAGCCTGCGGCAGAGGCATGGCAACCAATATCAGCACCCCTGATATTTGGGCCTGCGAGGGCAGCTATCCTCTCCCAGGTGTGCAGGATGGTGCAAAAACAACGCGTGGTGGTCGTTATTAACGCGGCACATAAAGTAACAGAGAAGGGCTATTTCAAAAAACAAGCCACAGCAATTGCGGTAAGGACGCTAGTAAACCTTCCTCTTGCAATCATCGTTATTATCTCCTTAAAACGACCACAGTCACACCTGGTGCTTTACATGGAAAATAAGAATAAAAGGTCCCTCCTTACAGCATTAAGATCAAAGCTTTTGAGCACAGATTTAGGGGAATTATGCTTATTGGCATGTTCACAAAACTGATCACGCAAGTACGGTGGATTGGCATGCTGCTGATTTCTTCAAATAAATACACCGCTTAGTTTAAATAAATGCAACAAAAACAGTTTAAATAAATACAAGAAAAATATTTCCGTACCAACTGTTTCCAGAAAGGTCAGAACATGATGCTAAGTCTCTCCTGCAATGCATTGCTCTGTTCCAGCACACGCTTGTATTTTTGTTTCCACCGAAATTTGTTTTCTGTTTCAGAGTTCAGGAATGATGAAGATTTTGCTACTTTACCAAATACGTGCACGTTGCTTTATACTAATCCTCACTGCATTTCCTACACAGCCTTCCTGGAAGATGAGGGTACACCTTGTTGAGTAAGGCCTTTCTAGAATAAGGCGGCTGCTACCTGATTCACTGGGTTAGGAGCAGGGGAAGAAAAACAAGAGGGAAACAAAAAAAATAACAACAGAATATACACCACACCCAAAACACTCTTAAAAATTTGTACAGTTTCTGTCTGGCTGGGCCCAGGTTCTGATCCTGTGCCAAGGCCGTGCTGCTAAGAGCATCGCCAGCCCCCAGCACCAAGGAGCAGAGAAGCTCTGCTCTCATTAACTTTGTGCACCAAATGTCTACCTGAACACCGGGCAGAAAGGCAAGTAAGTCACGAATCTGGGTAAATTCTCCACCAAAAATGGAAACTTTCAGAAAATGCTGCCAGACTGCTTTTCCAGGCCCTGTGCATCAATGAACGATTTGGGAGGTATTTGAGATAATGAATGTAAGCTGTGGTGATCACCAAATGAATTCCCCAAGATAGGTATGCTCAGATAGCTCGGGAAGGGCAGTGGAGGGGGCTGGGAAGAATTAGACTAAAACGTCTTTATCAGATTCTGCCAGGAGCAACTTTTCAGAGGAAATTAAAATCAATCCTTCTAGATTTAGGTTTCCACACATTAAGGATTATATGGAAAGTGAGCGCTCGTAAGTAAGCCCTCATTCATCCTTTCCAACAGTCTGAGCTGAAACATGTGCTAGATGAAATAAAACAGAAAAACCACCGAGTCCTACAGCACTGCTTCATGCTCTTACATCCCATCTGCATTAGGAGCTGTGCTCCTGGATGTCAGCACACTTCTCCCACTGCCAGCAGAGTCCAACCATGCACCCTCACAGTGACATTTCAGCATCCCATTGGTGTTCATCAGCCTCCTGCTACAACTTATGCTGCTGCTACCAGGTTCTGGAAACTTTGGCACAGCCCCGTGACGTCTGTACCTCTAAAGTCTCTCGAGCACAAAGGACATCAGAAGAGACACCACCAAGACAAGCCTGGATTGTCCCTCGCCAGCTGACCCCTTACTGGAAGTCTTAAAATGCCCGAGCCTTTGTGTTATTCAGCACCAGAGGCTCTGTGGCATGCAAACCAACTCAATTAGCTTCAAAGTAACAAGGCATTTTAGCAGGTAACTCCTTAGGCATTGGTGGGACAAGCACCAGGGTGCTGCTCCATGTCACGTATGCTCCCGTGGCTGCAGCACTTTAAGAGCTGTTTAGGAAATACTTGCTCCTGGTTTTGCCCTAGAGTCTGGGAGAACCTTAAGCAATGCCCAACCCGTGCTGGCTCCCCAGAGAACTGCGAGGACTAAAGAAAAGGCAACACTTAAGGGTAACACTTAAGATTGAACATCCTGAGCACTTAAATCACTAAAATAATTTTTCCAAGTTGCAGAACCTTACAGGATATATTGGAAACAGGTACCTGCAGAAGCTGCATGAATCTCCCTTCTACAGCACCCATCTGCTAGGTAGCACCTTGTCCCCCTCCTTCTCCCACTCACACTGTTGTTACATCCCTACAGAGACTGCCAGGTGCAGAAATCAGCAGGGCTGTGGGAGCCCGCTTTAAAAGCTGCCTCCCTGCCCCACTCCAGGCTTTTTAACTTAAACAGCAAACAAGCAAAAATCACCAAATAGAGTCTGCAGGAGGACTGACTTGAGGAGAGACTTTTCCTCAAATTAGGAGGAAATGTGTGAGCTACCCGAGGAAGCCTGCATAATGGGATGTGGAAGGGGCTGATGGAGCCTATTTTCCATGCTGTGCCACTTTTAAAAAAGTAGCAATTGAAGCAGCAAGCAGCCTCGGCTAACTGACACCTCGGTTTTTCAGTGAGCAGTTGTATTATAATACCGCTTAGAAGTGCCATTCAGGGATAGGATTTCTCAGTGTTGGATAGAGAGAAACACAACATAAAGAGTTCCTCAAAGAATGCCAGCCCCATTTCACAGGTGTGCATCACACCGGGTGCCTGTAGGAGCAAGGGGCTGTTTCTTACTCCCCAATTTTATAAAGAAAAATCTTGCCTTAATGCACCAGCGATCAAACACTTTGTCAGCCTGCATAGTCTTGGGCATCAGGCAGATTTTCCTGCGTGCTGCTGGCTCACGCGCCTTCCTGTGAGCTAGTAAAAATTAAAACATGAATAGAGCGTTAAGTGCCTTTGGAGCAAGATTAACTGCATTGTTTTTCCTTAATGACTGCACAAATCTGTCACCATGAAAGTTAGAAACACAGTCAATATCTTTATGCTTAATATCCCTCATCATCACACATTCTTGCTTCTAAATGCTACAATCCCTAGGATCTGAGCGACAGCAATTATTGCAGTTTGGGGTATGCAGTGGGAACCTGGCACATGGACAAAAACACAGGCAGACTTCCCAGCTCCCAGCCCAGGGACCTGCGGGAAGTTGCTGAACTTCACAGCTCATCTTTGGAAGTGTTTCTGCTCGGACGTGTCTGCTGCAGTCTGACAGATTGCAATCACTGCACAGAAAGTGCTTTGGGAGACAAATGTTCCCCGAAATTGCCATTTATCATTTGTTTGTCCTGTGTGTGTGCATGTGTGTGTACAGCAGGTCTGCCCGCAGCCACGGAGGGGCCATCCATGACCCGGAGACCGAAGCCACTCCTCACTGATCTGCAATCCCCATACCTTTTGGTCAAGCTCAGGCCAGCTGTGCGTGGCCTGGAAAATAACCACCTCACTGAGAAAATGTGTAAGAGGGGAAGTGTAAAAGGCAGCCAGGGAGGCACACGAAATGCAGCCTTCCCCTCTGTGGTGTCCTGCAGCCCCCTGCTCAAGGGGCATCGTGTAACATCCCAAGGGGAGCCACGGGCAGGGGCAGAGGAGGGACCTGCTCACTCCGGGAGGAGAAAGGTGAATATTTTCAGCAGGTTAGCACAGAGGCATGGATTGGACTATTTGTAGGGTAGGAAACATCAGGGATTACTGATGTAGTTGGGAAAGACACTGGGAAGAGATGCAGCACCTGGGGGTGTGGGGAAGAGAAGAGGTTCAAGACACCAGGAATTATGCTTCCTGAGGCCCCTGGTGCAGCGAGCTTCTGCTGCTGGCAGTGACAGCAAGAGAGGCTTATGAAGAACAAATGAGCTGGCTTTTTCTGCAGCTCGTACCCTGGCATTTCCTTAGCCTTCAAGCCCTAGACCTGAGGGGTTTGAGAGACCACTGCTACCTCGTCATTTTAGTTCTCCGTCAGCCTGAGAGATGTGAAATTTAACCACCAGAGCAGATCCCACCAGGTGCAAAGACAAAGCATGAGGATTGCAATAGCAGAGAGCGGCTGCAGGACATAACCCTGTGAGGTATTGATGCAGCAAAGCACCTAAGCACATGCTCAGAGCACCACAGCAGGGTCCCCACCTAAGGCATAATGGGTGGGCTTTGGTGCTTGTAGCCCTGCTCACACAGCATGGCACAACGGGGCAGCAGAACTGAGCCTACACAGCTCTCATCATTTAAGGAGAAGAGACAGCAGAAGACCAGTGGTGATAACAGGCAAACAGCAAGAATGGAATGGAAAATTAAGAGCAGGGCAGGAGGAAGGCAGCAGGCAGGCACGGCTCTGCCCCTCCAGCAGTGCTGGGGCTGGGTGAAGCTGGATAGATGGCACACAGTACTGCAGGGCTGAGGCGGGTCTGGTTTGCTTGTTTTTAAACAAAGCAAAGAAGTCTGCACTGTCAAAGGCCTTTTTCTGACGGGGGAGCCAAAGCAGACAACTTTTTGCCTTTTATCAGCTCACCAGAGAGCTGTCCCTGCAGTCAGGAGGTCTGCCTGACCCCAGAGAGGAGACAGACAGGGAGACAGCAGCTTTGGTGGGCCGGCCTGAGCAAACAGCTCTGAGATGGAGACAGATTGCTAAAGATATCCATAGGCTACAAAGTCCTTATTTTGGTTTGTATCAGCTTTATTAAATCTGCACTGCATCTATTTCTACATGTTTTTCCAAAGACGTGCAAGCCACACACAGAGCATCCCTCTGCCTGGGTTACGGGTGCTGGGACCTTCTGTGCAGCCCTCCTCTGCTGCATTTGTCCTTCCCCCCAAGGCTCCCAGGGGTAGGATTGTTATTATTTGTTTTCTGACAATCCCTGGCACTACACAGAAATACAGGCTCGCAGCCCCAGAGCCTGAACCAACATCGTATGAATGAAGGAGAGGAAGAGCAATGTGAAGCGCTGGCTGACTGCAGAGTTCAGCGTGCCCATCACTTCATTTCCAAGGATGGCTTTGTTATTGCAAAAACATGTGTAAAGGATCATGCCGCAGCTCAGTAATGCTGCTGTCACAGCAAATTCATCTTCTGCAGAAGAGAGGAGGAGAACAGCAGAGCTATATACACTTACAACCCAATCTGCCCCTGGTTATCACTTGTGCCTTAGCAAGAGCTGACACACTGCCTGCTAAGAATGTTATCAGAACAACGACAGGGAGAATATTGCTGTTGAACAGCCTATTTTCAGCAAGCTTCACGGGGAGGGCATCTTGTAAACAATGGGTTGGGGTTTTGAGAGAATTAAATACAAGTAACCCAAACTTTGCATCGTCACCCGTTTTCAGGTTGAAATTCCCGCGTGCCAGGCAGCCCTCGTGCTCCCACATCTCCAGAGAGACTTTGCCATTACCTACAGCCCTGCACACAGCCAAGGAGCCCTGCAAAGCCACCAGCACCACCAGCTTCCAGTGCTGGCTAATAGGCTACAGCATCTGAACCCCAAACTGCATTCCCATTGACTGTAACAGGGTTTGGATTCTAGCCAGTTCATATTCTAATTATTTCATTACAAGCTTCCAGTTCTTCACCGTTTGATCAAAAGGTCTGCCACAAATCATGATAACCAGCATTTCTGCCTGTTTGATAAGAGCCAGGGAGCACACAGCACAGCTTCCCAGGCACCACAAGCTACCCAACCACTGCATTAGCAGCTCCAACTCTTGATACCAAAGAGCGATAAGTACTCGGCCGAGCAGATTACCTTTAAAATTATAATACTCTTTAGGAAGTAAGCCGCCCACCCATTGTCCACGGGTCAAATTCAAATGATTACTATCCCACCGCAATGAGGTCCAAAGGGCTGACCCGCCTGACCCAGGGCAGAGTGCTGTGAGATATAATTGTGTTTCCTTATCTGTGTCTGTTTCCTAATGTGGAAAGACTGAGCAGCCCATGACAAGGGAATTTAGCGTTACTCACAAGTTGTATCAGGATACAGTGCACGTTAGCGTAAACTCTCCAGCACTGAAATTACACAGAGGTTATGGCAAGGAGCAGATTTGCTCTGAGAGGAATGGTTTGAGATTTGGGTTTTAAGGGAAACCACCAATAATACTCCATGAGCATCTCCCTCATTCTGGAGAACATGGCGAGATTTCCTCTCGTTATTCAAGAGCATGTATAGACATCTGTGTTTGCATCATGAGGCATTCAGAGGAGAAAAAAGAGTCTCTGTATCCTGGTGACAGTCTCTGCACGTTTTCTAAAGCATCATTTTAATAAAAAAGTCAGGTCTATCACACGGCTTACAGTTCTGCAGTGTTTAAATACATGTTCTTAAGCAAGGAAATAAAAGTATCACCTCCCCTCAGTCCTCTTTGAAAGTACATTATAATATCAAGGCATCTCACCAGTCTCCTATTATAAAATTATCATTTCCATACAGAATCTGTTTATTCATTTAATAATCTTTTTAAAACCTGGATTTAACCAGCCAGATAAAATCGTTTGTTTACTGTATAAAACTGCAGTGGAATTTTGCCTAAGGACTGAGGGTTGGACTCTTCAGATTCTCTTGGCTTTCATTTGTACGTATTTTATAGCACTTATTTCATTCCAACTTGTGTGAAGCTAAGCCAATCGGATGCTTGCAAGAAATTAGTTTAACCAAGCTTCATGATTTATACACTTTTAACTGTTTTTTTTTTTTTTAATTATTAAGAATGACAGTTTCTGTTGGAGAACAAAGCAAGTAAACCATTTCAGAAAATTTAGTAAAAGTTACCAAAAACTAATTATATGATCTTAATTTAGCAAGGCTCAAGAAATCATTATACAAAATCATTTATGATTACATTCTACTTGTCTTTAATTTTTTCACTGTTCAACATTAACATTAAACATTGTAAATGTATGCAATATTTATATAAAATTAAATAACAATATTGGAAAAATAAATACACTTTTACATAAATACATAAATCCATACTGCTGAAAAGTTTCAGCTAATACTATACTCTTGTTTCAAAAGTGACCAAAAAAATATGGTAGTGACACTCCATCCAAACAGATGAAGTACGTACAGCTACAGAATGATGTTTGCAACCTTTGACAGAACTAAAGCATATCAGGTGCTTCCACACTAACGAAAAAATTTGGACGTTGCTACCTACAGTAGTAGCACGAGGTAGACATACACATAGAGCATTTTGCAGGAGGGACACGATGCCCTGTTGACCCCATAGATAAAATGCAGTCCTCAAACAGCTCTGGGGTCCCCTACATCAGAGCCAAATGACACTTGGGTAGCAAGACCTGAAAATCCAAGTCACTTCATGGCAGTGACTGGAGCTGGGCTTGGCAGCCCCTGCACTGGGAAGGGGAGCGAGGGGGTGCTGAGCACCAGGGTCCACATCCCCGAGGGGAGACGGGAGGAGATGCTGTGGGAAGGATGCCCCTGCCCCGACATCCTAGCTCTTCCCAGGAGACCGGGTGAGGGACAACCCACCAAGGTTTATACAGGCAAGAGATTTAGTAGAGGCAAAGGAATTTTTTCTGGTTAAAAAAAAAAAAAAAAGCAGAACAGCCAAATACAGGACTGCATCCTGCATTAGGAATGCACCCTGCATTTTAAGCAGAGGAGCAGATGCAGCCCTCCAGCCGTGAAGAGGCTGAATGCTGAGTGACACCAAAACGCAACACAACTCTGTCCACACCTGTGGTTCTTGCAAATGTCCCAGCACGGGTAACAAAGGCTCGCAGCACTTCTCAGCTGGTAATGCTTCCAGAGAGCTGCTGCACGGGTTGCTAGTTCTGCTTAGCTCGCCTCGCTCATTTGTAGCACCAACTATCAGCGTACAAGTGATACATTAGCACCTCAAATGAAACATTTCATATCACTGTCCCTTGTACTGGTGAAGCACCGTATGAACACTAGTCCAGCAGTTTTATGGCTATTGCATATCACTGAGGTATGAGAAAAATATTGAGAAACGTTACTGAAGGCATCCGCATTACTGAAGCATCCACAGAAACTAGTGAGGTTATGTTCTAGCAAGACGGCTCATCAATCAAACCATGACAATTAAGGAAGTCCGATACATTATAAGAGAAAAAAGGCCTCTTTGTAAAGTGCTTTTGAGTCAAATTATCTTTTTTCTTCCTTTTTAAAAAAATCTTCTTGAAAAGCTGTTATTGCAAAACACCCACTAAAAGTCGACATCTGTTTGAAGGCCCCTCCAAAACGGGCAGGTCCATGGTTTCCAGCACACCAGAGGTGCCCCATGTGGCACTTGCACTGGCACAGGGGCTGCTGCTCTGGGCAGGGAGAATTTCAAAGCCGCAGGACTCAAAACAACATCTTAGATCCTGGCTCAGGATCTAAAGCCACTGCAAGAGCATCTCTGTAGAGGAATCCCAGCCAGACAAACTCTCCAGCAGCAGAGAGATGCTTACAGGTGCCTCTGCGCAGTGCATCACACGTGTTTTATATGGGAGTAGAAATACAGCACGGGTGTGGATGCACACGTTTCTATGTAAGTGTGCATGGGGCAGCTAGGGACATGTACATGCATCTCTACACACTTGTACCTGCAAGGAAGCTGATGCCATTTAGGACAATTTTAACCCTGTCAGTTTGTGTTTGGCAGAGAACAGGCAACTTGTAAACCAGTAGGCACACGGTGCAGTGTTGCCATTGAATGTCAGCACAATTTAACTTCGATGCAAAGGTACTGCTTAAATGCCAGGTTTAAATCCGTATGCAAAGGACTCCGTGAGAACCAAGACTCATAATGCACAGCACTTGCACGGTGTAGCAAAATGGACGAAGTTGACTACTTAGCAGAAAGTGCCTTTTAAATTAACGGACTTGAGCTCCCCTAATGTAAGCCCTTCCTGAACAGGTGTTATTCTGAATATATCATCAATAATCCTCTTTAAGTGCAGTTTTAAGACATGAAGCATTAGCACCTTAGTTTGAAGCAAATTAAATTGGTTGTTATGGGATATCCACAAAACGGTTCACAAAGAGAAAGAGTTTATGGCCGTACCGAGCTCCAAGGACCAGCGCTCCAGGCAGCATCTCTAGGACAGTCATGCACATTGCACTGCTCTCTGTCCGGTGGCTTGTCAAGGATTTCGCAGCTCAGATCCGTAAACCTTTCTCCATTGGGGCGCTGACACACCACGAGCCGCGTTCTTGTCCCTGCCCCGCATGGCTTTGTGCACTGGAAGTCAGCAGAGGACAGAGGATCACCACCTGGGCACCCACAACTCTCTCGAGCCCCCAGGGTTGTTTCTGTTCCCACCTCACCCTCTCCAGCCATGTTCCCCCAAGCAGATGAGGCATCAGCTTCTCTCTCCCCAAAACCATTCACACCGCTCCACAATGAAATTTCCAGACCCAGCAGGATTATCTGAGGTTAGCATCTCCAATTGCTCATCTTGGATGAGTTTTCAGAACAGAGCAGTGTTTTTATTACAAAGAAAGGCCTTTGATTGAACTAGACATATCTCAAAAAAACAGAACCTCAATTTTTGTTTCCAGGCAAAAGCAAATTCTACAAATGTTTCCCATGACAAATGGAATCAAAACCACCACCAAGCAGTTGCTAGGGTTCACTTGTTTATCAGAGGCTGCCTTTCATGCTCCAATATTTCTAATTTCTAACCGTGATTTTCCCCTTCTCCCCCATTTCTCAGCCATCCCCTAGCAAAACCCTTCCCTGCGTAGGGAATGATGCACTCACCTCTCCCCAGTTGCCGTAAGCCCACTGAGGACAGGGGCCGGACTCGCACGATCTCTGCTCCATGGGTTTGGTTTTCTCATCGCAGTTATTCGCGGTGTATCCATTTTCATCCTGGCACACCACGACCCGCCGCTGGAACCCCCCCGCGCATGTGCTAGAACACTGCAAGACACAATTGCCCATAGCTTTTCTGAGTCCAGGAATAATTGAGCACTCCCTGCTCCTTCCCAGCGCACCACACCATGGGAATGCACAGCTAGAAATGTAATACAGCTAACAGGCATTATTAACTTCAAAACTCTGCTATTACTAATAGCAGTGCAATGACTTAGGTGCTGACTAGGCAAAGAAAATAAACACGAGCCTGGTTTTGAGCAGGTGAGTAATCCCCCCTGCCTTTAACAAAGTGTTTAATATCACAATCGTGTTTAATTCCCTTTAGAGATTTCCATGATAAAGTGCTTCAAACTGGCTGGGGGTGGGCAAGGAGCTGGCATTAAGGCTCTGCTGTGCTTTGGCAGCAGCTCTGCACAGCTGTAAATGCCCCAGGAGGCAGCCAAGAAACAGAGGCTGGCTTTTGCCTTATGGAAAATGATGCTATCTGCACACAGAGCCCACAGAGCCTGGGCAATGTGTGCTGTGAGGGGAGGAGAAGCGATGCCTTCACCCTGCTGCAGCACTGGGGGGAGCGAGCAGGGAGCAGCATGCAAGGAGAGGGGTCCCTCTTTTTCCCTGCATGGTGATGTTAATAATAATAGTCATAAATAATAATAAGCCTGAATTAGCCCTTGAAAAATAAATGGAAATAAGAAAATCCTGGCACTTACAGCACCCCAGGGACCGATTCTCCACTGATTGCCTCCCGGTATATGTGCACGGTTTCGGTTGGGGCTGCCTCCGGGGTGCAGTTTCAGGCGATGATCCGGATAGAGGAAAGGGTGGATGGGCCTGCCGTAGTCGTGGCTGTTTGGATGACAAGGAGACATGGAGCAGTCTTGCTCGGTGGCAGGGAGGTCGTCTGGATCGCACTCACTCCTGTCCACCAGCTGGTCACTGTAATTGATGCAGATCACTTGTCGCGTTGCCTTACCTTGACCACAAGTCACCGAGCACTGCATTACAGTGGGAAAAGGAGACACAGTCACATTTCCAGCTTTGAACACCAGACCGACCGCTATCACTAACAAAGAACAGCTGAAAACCTTAATCTCCCCACTTTATAAAGGGCCGAGCGCGACAGATTAATGAAGTCTATTTCCAGCAGCCAGGCCTACAAGGCTCTCCTGCGAGAGGCAGCGATGCTTACAGAGCTCCACTCCAAGGCTTTCCACTGCCCACACGGTGTCACGGTGCACATTTCTGTGGCTGATGGCTTTGGCAGGTGGAAACAAGCAGACTCATCGGCCACCGAGCCCTGGTCATCCCGACAGCTGACATATCTCATCCGCGTCCCTTTCCCACACGTTGCGGAGCACTAGGGAAGAGCAACAAGCACTCCACTAGAAAGCTTCCTGTTATATGCCACAAGGGCTTTGGAACTAAAAGCCAGTCAAATGCACTTAAAAATATCACAGCGTCTACTGTAAAGTAATCCTGAAAGTATTACGACACACGCTTACCGGTGTCCAGGATCCAAATCTCCACTGAGTCCTGTGAACGCCTGATACAGATCTCTTGGCTTCAGGACTGTTTGGATGGGGAGGACATGCTGCTATCTCACAGTCCTGTAAGGGAAACACAGGAGGGGAATAATGCAAGAGATGGAGAATTTGTGGATGTTTCAGTTAAACCACCTTTTCTTCAGTGCTTTCTCCTTGTATGTTCTTGCTGAATGAGCAAAATTTGGAATCAGTGCCCCTAAAGGCTTCATATGCAGCACCTCAGTGGACTTTTAAGTTATTAAAAACTCTAAAATTGGGATCCTCATAACTAAGTGCCATCTTCATGCATTAAAAACGGATGTTTTGAGGCAAGAGATGAAAGTTCATTAAAAGAGCTCTGGTATGAAGGCATATCTACAAAGCAGCAGCTTTATCTCCCTTCAGAGATCCCAAACTCTTTGTTACAAACTCTTTGTAAAAAAGGTTATGTTGTTGAGCTGATTGCAGCCCTCTGGTTCCCCATAGCCCACCAGGCTGCCCGTACCCACGTCCTGATCTTCTCCACACACTAAAAGAGGGAGGGTTTGGGGAGGGAAATGTCACATTCAGCCTCGTTACACTGTCTCGCAGGGGGCTCCAGTCCTTTCTGGCCCTCCTGGGAGGTTTGGCAACAGAAGTAATGGAAAGCCAGGACTTGACTCCACGAGCCTACAAGTACTCAGTGCCAAACAGGAAATTAAAGTTGATATCCACTACAAGAGAGAGATCACCCGGCCCTTGACAAATGGCCTAAGTCGTTTCCGCATTGCTAAGATTTTAGTTGTGCTGGAGATGTGCGCGCCAAACGGTCCCATGTTACTGATGCCAGGTGGCACAGAACAGCAGGATTTACCTGGGTGTCTGTTGGCCTGGTTGCAGCATTGCACTCGTTATCATCCACCACTGACACGTAGGTGCCCACGACACACTTCACCACTCTCATCTGGTAGCCTTGGCCACAGGTCACTGTGCACTGGGAGAGGGCAGACAGGAGAAGTGCTGGGTCTGAGTAGCTGCTTTGGTTAGAGAGCGTTAATCAGCCCAGCCTGTGTTTAAGCATGTTGCACAAGCAGCAAAAATAAAACCCAACTTCCCTTCTGCTTTCTCCCTACAAGTTTCAGCTTTAAATTAGGTCAAAGTTTTAATTTACTGCGTCCATCAGAGCCTCACACACTTCACTTACTGTCCTCAGGAATGAAGGTGTGAGCGTTTAAATGATCTGCTCTTCTGCACACAGTAAATCAGTCTGGTAGAAGCTGCACCATATCCTTCTTTAAAACTGTCCGTTCAGCCCCACAGTAGCACAAACAGCTAATGAATATTTTTGCTGATGGGCAATAAGTCTGGCTGGGACAATTGGCTTTGCTGCTGTTTTTTTTTCTTTGTTTTTAAGTCAAAAGTTACCAGCTTTGTGGAAAAGAAGATGCCAAAACACTCCAGGAGAAATGAGCAACTTGCATTTGAACAGAAAAAAAAATCTGTTTTAATAACTCCCCCCAGAAACTGGAAAACATTAAACGCAACAACCACTACTCAGTGGGAGCAGCTTTTTTTTTTTTTCGGTGAAAAATTAGGCCATGTATTTGTGTGCCTAAACATGGACTTAGAAGTGTAACCTTAGCAACCCTTGAAAATCATGACCAATTCAGTATGACACAAATCAAATCTAGCACGATGGGCAGGTGTTATTACTGCTGCCCCCAAGCGAACGGAGGGTGTGCACATTTGTGTGTGCAAATCCATTCACACAGTTATCACTAGGATAAATCCTTTGTGGAGGTACCTGGCCCCAGGGCCCCACTTGCCACGCCGCACACTCCTGCTGCTGGCACGTTTGCACCGACTCCGGCTTCGTTTCAGGGTCACAAAACCTGTCATTTAACCGATCTTCTCCAAACTGGCACCAGGTCTGGCGATGCTTGTGCCCTTTCCCACAGGTGACCAGGCACTGCGAGGAGGAAAACATGAGCTCAGGTGGTGCCCAGGCAGCACCTCCCTGGAGCGTGAAAACAGACCCGAAATCATCACTTGAACACGGCTGGAAATATGGCTCTAGCCAAACACTACGTGTGCTGGAAAACACACGAGTGTATTGCAGTGACACGGGGCTGCTTGGGCGTAGGAAGAACACAGTCATGTGGGGAACTGCACCAAGGACGGGTGCCAGTCCATGGAGGCTTTTCATTTACACTAAACTCAGCAAGTGGATAAATCCTGGTGTAAGACTAATTTAAAAATTTCTCAAAATCAAGGTCCACATACCATACCCTGGCATAACGCAACCTCATGGCTATTTTCATCATTTTTTTTTTTTTCCAAACAATAGTTCTTCCAATGTGCCAAAGGACACGGAGAAAAGCACAGCAAACGTGAGTGCCAAGCAGGATGGCCAGAAAGAGACAGAGACAACGATGCTTTCCCCCCTGCCAAGGCAGATACAACTTGGCTCCAGGGATGACTACATCTTCCAGCAGCTCCCAGCAGCTGTGAGATGTAGGGCAAAGCTGCAGCACTGCCCTCTGGGGCTTCGGTAGAACACAACAGTGTGCCAAAGGCTTGTAAAAGCAAAGCATACTTGCTTGCTTCTGAGCATGCATGATAAAGCTGTGTGTGAGAGCCTCTTCCAGCATCTCTTCCACTGCCACAAGCACTCATCCCAGCAGACAGGTATTTTGTGGAGAACAATGGTCAGTTAACAGTCTCCATTTCCACTTAATTTCTTTCATTATTTCTTAAAATGATACATTCATAAAAATGAGAGCTATTTGGCCACAAAGGTGACAAGAAGCCTTTGAAGACTACTTCCTACATCGCCAGTCCTGCTGCAGGGAAAGCTTATTAAGGCACGGCTTTGTTGCATTATGAAGGACACCAGCTGCAGTGAAAGCAGCAATGGTAGTAAAAGGCAGGGAGAGAGCTCAGCAAGATATTAGTAGGGTGAAATCCTTCCCTGCAGTGGCAGCCAGAGCTGATAGGGTACAGCACTCAGGCAATGCACACAACACAACAGGGACGAGCAGAAGAAGAGGAGATGCCTCTCTGCTGGCAGCAGTCCACTGATGTGAGCCCGCCATCCCTTACCTCGGACCAGTCGCCAGTTTTCCACTGGGGGCACAAGAAGTCGCTGCAGCGCTGCACCGTCAGCTTCTCCTGCTGGCTGCACTTGCTGTCGTCCAGGACGTCGTTGTAGGTGTTGACACACATGGCCCGCCGCCTCCGCGTGCCCCCGCCGCAGCTCTTGGAGCACTGCAAAGAGGAGGCACTAAGCAAGCACGCTCTGCCGCCCTGTCACGGGCCGGGAGCCCGCTCATCTCCTCCTTTCTTGCAGTCAGGACTAAAAAGAGACCGCGGAAAACCTCCACAAGAACAATTTGTACTCCAAGTAACAGGCTATTACTTTATATATTCCTTTAAAAATCCAATCTCGCTAAGCTTAATAAAATCTTGCAGCAATGGGTTTCACAAATTCATCTCAGGTTATAACCCCATTATTACTTTTACAAGTGTTGCCTTCAGTTCCCCCCGATAGCTGATGCTTGTTCTCATTTTACAAGAGATTAATTCCCTCTCCCCAGCTCGCCCTCCTTCCCCGTGCTCTCCCTGGAACGCTCTGGGCTCGTGATTCTCTCCGTGCTGTGTCTGCACTCAGGAATATCTGTGCCCAGCTTCCTGCTGAAAAGGGTAAAGGGGACAAATTTCAGAAGTCCTCTGCTGACGGCAACACAGCCTCCATTAATCGCAGTGGAAAATAAGAAGCATTGGGCTCACTCGCACTGCAGAAACATCAGTGAGAGCAGAATGCCTGTGGACAACTTTCACAGCTCTCTGTAAAGCAAATCAGCCCCGAGCGAGGAGGCGAGGGAGGCCGGCCTTACCTCGGTCCAGGCGGAGTACCGCCACCCTCCCACGTTACAGTCTCCCGTGCACTTCTCCCTCGTGCTCGGCTTGGGCTGGCTGTTGCAGAAGCGGTCGTCGACCTTCTCCGTCTTCCCCTCCAGCCTGTTGTACTTGGAGCAGTAGATCTCCAGGGTGCGGTACCCCAGCCCGCACTGTGCCGTGCACTCGCTCCTCCTCGCGATGTGCCACCTGAGCCAGGGAAAGCAGCCGTCAGCCCCCGCGCCACAAAAACCCGCGAGGGGATCAGAAAGGCGTTATTAAATGGGAAGTTTTGACTCTTCCCAGTGCTCTGTGGTCTCCAAGCACTCCAGAAATATTAGGCAATGACCCCTGGCATTACTTCTTGGAGGGAAGGAAAGGTCCCCAGCTTCTCCCTATAGGAAGGAAGCCATGCTGTGGTCCCGTGGGGAGGGAGTGCATGGCCAAGCACAGAGCTTTGACAGCTTTCTGCTCCACATACCAATGTAGGAGAGCCACCTCAGCCCTAAAAACCAGAAGCTGAAAAACACAGCATCGGAAAGTGACCCGAACAGGCTCGAAAGGTGTGAAAAGTCAATGCACCTGGCATGAGGCCTTCACGAAAGCTTCAGCTCCCTGAAGCGCAAGCGTGTGACTGCCACAAGGCACCCAAGGCCCAGAGGTGCCGGTGGGGATTTGGGGTGCTCCCCCCAGCCAGGAGGGACACCCAGCCTGTGCCTGCTTCCCAGGATGGGCAGCATGGGGAACTCCTGAGGACCCACGTGGGGATGTTTTTGGGAAGCAAAGCCCCTGCTTCCCTGACTGGGTCAGTGGGGTGTGTGAGCACCCAGCGCCTGGCAGGGGCAGCTCCTGGGGAAGGTGGCGGTGACATCCCTGTGGGGCCTGGGGACCTCTGGCCACTACAGCAGCCTGTGCAGGCACACAGCCCCATTCCTAAGCCCAGAGAGCAACTGCAGCAAAGCCAGGAGAAGAATAAGATCAAGGGGATTTAGAGTCAATAGCAATCACAGGAGCCCTCGCATCCCTGCCTGCTTTTCAAACTTGGGCATTTCCCCTTCTCAAGTTTCCAACCTGTCGCAATGGCAACAGCTGTTACCGCGACAACCCAGCCTGCAGCAGCTCCGCAGCCGGCTGTTTTCACCCCAGATTTAACAAAGCAAGAGAAACCCCTCAGAAAACTCGGCAATGCAAACTGCAACGCCAGCAGCCGCTTAATGCCACCATATTTAAGCTCCCGAAAGGAAAACAGATTGCTGCTTAAAGGAAAATGGGTTGCGATGATTTAGGCCACACTCCATCGATTCCAGCTCACCAGGAGTTGTCTGGGGACAGCCCCAAACCCACTCCACACTTAAGCTCACTCCTCACTTGAGGCAAAAAATCCAAAAGCCTTAGTGACCCTTTTGCTTTGAGCACATTTTTCCTTTGCAGGCTGCTTGTAGAACAGCGCTGAGCATTTTCTCATCTAAACAGATGCAAATTTCAAGCACTATGCTGCACAATGAGATTTTTCAACATTACGTGATTGTTTAAAAATGTATTCTATAGTTAACACTAATTTAATTCAACATGAGAAACCTGCAAATGTAGAAAAGTGCCTCCCAAAACACAGCTGGTGGGCATCGACCCTTCTTGGTTGAGAGGGAGGCAACTGTTAATCCTTTTTTCTGGTTGTTTTTTAAAACCTAAGACAGGCTGCTGAGAAAAGGGATTAAGGCCAGAGGTGAAAGGAGAGAGGAGTAAACAATAAATATATGATGTAATGTATATACATGAGTGAGTAGAGTGCACCTTAATTCACACTCCGTGCCACAAGGCTCAGTTATCGGGTCAGGCTGGGGAATTCGATCACATCTTTGGTCTGACACCGTGAGCTGGTCTGACTCTCTTGTACACACAGGTTTCCTTTTTCTTTCTCCTACACAGGAAAAAAGAAAAAAACATGTTGTTTGAGACACAGGATAGCCATCAAATCAGTTGTTCCTCTACCTCCTTTGATAGCAGTATTTAAGAGACATTTAGTTATGCTTTTAAAATCTCCTTCAGAAAGAGAAGGAACAGGGGCAGGAGAGCTGCAGCATGCTGCACTGCATTTAGCACGATTTGCATATGTAGCTGGGAACTGCTGGGTGATAGACCCAAACCAGACACCCATGCCTTCTGCACCCTTAGGCAATGCACAACCTTTTCAGTGCTCCAGCTGCCTCATCTGCAAACCAGGCTGCAGGACTTACCTAGCTCAGAGGGGGCTGTGAGGTTTCCCTGCTTTGCAACCGAAAAACAGCAGCAACGCAGTGCTATAACTTGCAAACTGGTACGGGGCACCACAAGCAACCTACTGCCGTGGCCAGGGAAACGCTCAAGCCCATAATATGAAAATCTCCAAGGCAGCAAACGGAGAAGGATTCATCAAGGGTGCTGAGATACCAGATGAACCCACTTCATCTTCTTTAAAGCCTTCCCAAGCACCTACCTTGGCAGAGCTTACTGCAGGGCTGCCAGGGGCCATAGGCATTCCAGTAAAACTGCTGAGGTTTGTCTTCAATGGGGATATTAAAAGTGTAACGAACGTCAGGATTGTACAAATTGCCCACTGATAAAACCTGAGAGGAAAAAGGGATAAAGCAGAGTAAACTAACAGACTTCACCGCCTACTGTTTTCAGTCCAATAATGCTCGGCAGACTTTTCCACACGCACAACATATACTTCACCTGAAGTGTTATCTCTTGCTCAATCCGATCTGTAGAATTAATCCTTTCAACAGTATTATCCGATCCGCTGTATTCGATCACAGCATTCCCAACTTTGATTTCCCTTTTAAACATACTGACGACAAACTCTCCATTTAATATAAAGTCTCCTTGACTGTTAGATAAGGCTGCATAGGTGCAAAAAACAAGAACTAAAGACGCAGAATTAACTCAGAGGTACATAATAACGTGGGTCATGTGCTCTCAGTGCTCCCTTCCACTGGATTTGGAGGAAAAGTCAACTGGCACCCTTAAACAGAAGGGACGTAAAGAGAGCAGCAGAGGTCTTACAGACATCATGCCTACTCCTTTTTTCACTGGAAACCTCATTAAAACGAAGGCTGAATGCCTGAAGGTGTTCCTAAACAGCTCACCCATAACCTAGGGCGAAGAGACACCGAACAGACGTGCCAAGCAGGCTGCTGTGGGCTGTCTGGATCCCAAGTGTAACGCAGAAACAGTTCTGCCCAAACCTTTTCGTTTGTCGTGCAGATAGGGTGACTTTCACATTGCTTCCAGGTGTGTTCTTAAGGTAAATTTCTGTGCCCTAATTGCCTAAACTTCATTTTCCAGTGGATAATTACCACGGAGTTTGGTCAGCATCTCCCTCCCTCCTCCCCTCTTACTTTTTTATTATTCCAAATCTTAAGGTATGTGAAAGCACCGAAGGCTTAAAGCCTAAATGCTTTATAAAAGGAACAGTTTCCTGAAAACAGCAGTCTGCTGCACAACTTCACACTAATGCGATTATGTAGCTAATTTCCTAAGTTAGTTTCCCCACCATTTCACCCATCACAGCTACATTACTACAAAGCCTCTGTACTGAAAAAATCCAAACTTAACACCAAAACACCAAAGGGAAGCTTTTTACACCAAATGAGGAGAGATAATGAAGCAAAACACTGCTTGGTTGCTAACAATCATAGATGGAGAAAAACTTAGAAAGCAGACTCTATACTTAACCGAATTCCATACTTTGGAGGCTTTAATGTCATTAGGCAGTGGTAAAACTCATTAAAAGATTCCTTCCCATTTACTGTATCTTCCCCCAACAGTAGGTACGCGTCTTGGACTTGATGACAACATCAAATTCCTCCTAAATTGTTAAGCAACTACAGGGTTCACGGTACTGAGGGCCCGAGATTTCACACTCAGTGAGCTGCAAAATAAGTGGACACATGCACGCTTCTCATTTGCTTCTCTTCAGGCCTAATATGAAGAGATGCTTTCCCAGCAATATTAAAGCAACATTAAAGAAGATTTGACTTCATTGCTTCCCAAGAAGATTAAGGGCCCTCCAAGAAGAGTTGAGAAGTTCTTTGGGGCTCCTTCTGGGGTGAGCTGCTCTGAATAGGCACCACATGGGGACGATTGCTTTTCTAGAAAAGAAGAATGATGAAACCTTTCTCTCTCCCCCAGGACAGAAAGCTATCACCCCTCAGTGGGGTTTTCTGATGTGCATCCGTGCTGCCCCATTTTGGTGCATTGCTGTGAAAGCAAAGACTGTGGCAGTGCAAAGACAGTCTGGGAATTGGTGGGGCAGTTTCTGCCTACATAAGGGGTCTGGAAACATGGACAGCCTTTCAGAGTGACAGCCAAAACTACACCATGGTCTCCTCTACCTGCTTTCCAAGCGGCACAAAGAAGGGAGCTTCTTCACCCCCCAGCCTGGGCTGGGAACCCCCAGTCCCATTCCTAGTGCACCCAGTTCCATTGAGTGCTTAGGCTAAGCTCCACATTTTGGGAAAAGGTGCCAACAACTCATGGATATTGCTGTCCCTTCATCCTCTCTTCAGTCTGTGGGAGTTGTGTGTCCCTGCTTTTGAAAGACACAGCTCGCTCCCTCTGTGCTGGTGCTGCTCTGCCCTGCTCCTTGCTCCCCTTGGGTCAAAGATGCTCCTCTCTGCACACCCCTTTCCCAAAGCACGCATGGAAATCACCACAAAACAGCAGCACCAGCCTGTTTTGCTGAGCTGTCTTTGCAAAACAAGGCACAGCGAACTCAAAGATCTAATAAATAAGTGACCCCGAGTGCCTGGTGCCAGGCACGGGGTGTGCAGAGGAGGGGACACAGAGCCAGAGCAGCCAGCCTCCCCCACGGGCTGCCAGCAGGCTCTGAGGGACACGGGCAGGACTTGCTGGCAAACCCATTCTGCTGTCAGCAGGGATACAGTCAGCCACAACGTGTTGTTTCCTCTACTGAGCCCAAGAAGATCATGCTACAGATTACTGCCTGGCATGGTGAAAAAAACAAACACATGGCCATGTTAAAAGCTGTGTTCATGCAGCAGACTGGTCTAACATAGTACTGCAAGCATTCTTCATTTGGCTCTAGAGACGTGCCTACAGGTTAGAGAAATCACTCTCTGTGAATAGCCAACTGCCACAGGCCAAGGCATTGTTAGGACTAAATCAAATCAACTTACTATACAATACCGGCTGGTGGGGACAAGAAAGGCTCAGACTAAGTGAAATCAGAATTATTCTGATACTGCAATAGAAGATACTTTCTACCCACATCTTTCTAGGTATGTCACATTTACTGCCCAGCCAAGGCATGGTGACAGCAGAGGAGCATTAATTTGCAATTAAGCCTCCATCAGAAGTCCCAAGTCTGGCTGCTCCCCAGCTTCGTGCCTCTGCTGTCACCCCACAGCCTGGGCTCAATCGTCCCTCCTAGCCCCAGAGATCCTGCAAGGGGATGCTTCCTATCACCTGAGAGCCTCCCTGACGTTGCTGCAAGGATGGCAAAACCAAAGAGCAGGATGCGGCTGAATGTACTTGGCTGACATACAAGATACATTCTTGAAAAGAAAACCTCCTTTAAATTAATTCTTCATCTCCCTTAGCAGAGAGCAGCCAGCAGATATATCAACACGACCAGAAAACAGAGCCAAACTCGGGACTGAAAGACGCACTGCAACTCACCCAGATAGTTGTCATCCTCTGGTTTCCCTGAGTAACTGTGCTGACGCACATCAATATTTGTTGCACCAGCTGGGATGCGGACCACAACGTTATAGCCTAGAACAGATTTAACACAAAGTCTATTACACAGGCATTTCATTTGCTTTTTATGGGGGGAAGGGAGCTGAGTGAAATTACCTCACATTACACAACCCAATACTCTTCATTTAGGGATAGCGTAAATAGATATAAACTGGAATTTGCTATAGCTAGAAGGATTTCACATTTTCTATCGGTGTTCTTGTAGATTAAGTGTGGTAATGGCTTTTATAGACCCGCATTTTTCATGATAAACTTTTTAGCAACAGATTCTTACCATAATGCACCGTGTTAAATGTGCCCGCAACAGTTTTGCATGAAGAATTATCCCCACCACAAACACCACATTTATCTCTTCTCGCTTTTGAATTCAGCACATGATCACATCCAGCTTGCTTTAAGAGAAAAAAAAAAATTGAAAAACGAGATTGAGCAAACGCAGACTGGAACAGCATTTACAAACCTCCAAATTAAGCCCCACAAAAGCTTTGTGTGGAGAAGGCTGCCGCGGGACAAATTGCTTTGCTTCCCCACGTTTCTGCGCTGATTTACAGCGCGGCCATCCCACGCTGGTTACAAACAAAAAGCAAGGCTCGGGAGCACCGTTTGCACCCGGCAGTGCCTTAGCTGGAGGAAACTTCTTGCAATTCGTCTTTCCCATAGAGAAAAGTGCCCCCCCAACACACAAAATGGAGACCATCATTGCAAAGGGAAGGGAAGATCATTACCCGGCAGAGGCCCTGCACACAGATGTCGTTGGTGTCGGGGCCACAGGGCGTGCCGTCGATGACGCGGTCCCGCAGCTGGTAATACGCCGTGTTCCCCGCCACGCGGCAAAACAGCTTGCAGCGATCCTTCATCAGGACTGGGGAGGGAGGAAGACCAGGAGAACATGACCAGCTTGCCATCGTCCCGATGGGCCACCCGGAGGAAGGAGCCCGGCCCCCGCCACTTACTGCCGCTGTATTTGGGCACCCAGCGCACGTTGGTGGGCAGCCCGTTGATGTTGAAGTGTTTCCCGTCGAAGTCAGCGCACTGCTCGTCCCGGAAATCCTTCTTCAGCTTTGAGCAGGGCTCGGTGTTGCAGGACTTAAATTTCATTCGGCGCCCCACACAGTATTTCCCACCGTTTTTAGGCCTGCAGGAAAAAAGGGAAGAGAAGCTGGCTGCACCATCCCATCAAGGCTGCATTTACCGGTGCCTCCTGCATTGCTTTCACCTCTCCTCCTGGCCTCCTGCCTCTGACCTCCACCCTATCAAGCTTCTGCATGTGGGATGCGGCGCAGCAGGGAGGTTTTGTCTTATTAAAAGCCAAAACAAAACATGGAAGTGATGCTAAAAAGGGATGGAAAAAGGGAGTGTTTGCCCTCCACAGCTGTAGTAAGAGAGGAGAGGAAGTGCAGCATTCTCCTCCCCAGCTGGAGATTAAGCTTCATGTTGAAGGATCCCCATAAGGGGAAGAACCATCCCTCCACAACCTCATCGGCCCTATAGATTTGGAGGGTTTGTCTCTGATCTACTGGCTTGCAAATAACTGAACATCACAGCAGAGAGCTGCTTCCCTGCGGAGGCTAAAAGGCCAGGCAGCACTTAGGGATTTATAGCCCAAAAATGTAGAAATGGTGACACCAGACCCTTTTAAGTAGCTTCATCTCTACATGTTCCAGAAAGCACCAAAGACAGCCAGTAAATACTTCACCCCTGTTTCGTAAGACAACCTTGGTATAAACCGGGGAGAGCGATATCTTCCAAACCATGTAAAAGCCAGTAGATACGCTGGGAGAAATCATCCTTTACATTTTTCCAGTCCCAGATTCGGTGCTGTGGTCATGTAACTACTGCTGTCCTCTGACAGCAAGTTCTGGACAGCAAACCACTGTGTACATACAGGGGTCTCTACACACAGCAAGCCCACAAGCTCCTACAGCTCAACACAACCTTTCAGTGTCTCAAAGTACAGGCGCATCACCCACCTGGGAAGCCCAGCAGTGCCTTTCCTCCCACACATAACATATTCAAAATCTATTTGTGACAAGCAGCAGAGTTCCTGTGAAATCCCTCAGTCCCACCCCAAATACAGCCAGGTATGATTTGTCCTCAGGCACAGCCTGCAGCAGGAGCGCTAACACCAGCTCCACCTGCTCCGAGGGCAGCTCTCACGTGCCGCCTGGAAACTCAGTGCTGCCACTTGCAAAGCTTCCAGGTGCCTGCAATTAAACAAGTAACAGCGACACAAAGCCCAGCCGACCACGCAGCACTAATGATGGATTTCATTTCACAGACTGCTCTCAAACCACTTCTCAGTAGAGTGAGCCTCTTCTCCACCTTAGTTATTTGTCAAACCAACTCCTGCCTGGCCCCCTCTAGCCCCAAAGGGACATCCTGACCATCTCTGGAAGCTTCCTAGCAGCAGCATGTTCCAGGCCTTGGTGAGCCAGAATCATCCATGGGGGAGTTAATAGGATTCATTGTTTTTGCTTTGAAAGCATTTATACCGCAGTAGGATTGTTGCAATCTGACAAAGCCTTTAAATAATGCAAACATCTAACAGAGCTTTTCTTAAAAAAAAAAAAAAAAAAGAAAAAGCTTGCAATGATGACATTTTTATGGTAACCACATGGCTTCCAATACAAATCAGTTTAATTAATATGAGACTTCTAAATGCTGTTAATTAAGAAGAACGTGCAGGAGCCTTTTTTCTTTTTTAAAGGGTTATGTCTGACATGATCTGAAGATCCCAAGCTATACTTTCCTTTTCTCTAGACATGACACATGAGATTGAGATAACATTGAACACATGGGCACACCACAAACTGAATGATCCTAAAAGTTACCATCGCGTTAGAAACCATCAGCTTGGTAAGTGTGGCAGTAAATCTCCCCACAGCAAGCATTTGGGGCTTAAGCACACTCACATTTCAAAAATAGCCCCAAACCACTCTGACAATTTTAGGGTGTTTTTAAACCAGTATTGCTTTTCACAGTCTGGGTAAACAAAAAGAGCTGACCCTGAAAAATAAATCTGCCTCATGTATCATCAATTTTTAGTGCTATGAAGAAATGCTGGATTCTTCACCGCTGTGTAGTATTTTTATGGATCATCAACACCGTACCGCAGGGCTGGGAGGGAAGCAGTGCACACACAGAAACCTCCTTGCCCTGGCTTGATTTCCCTTATCTCTGACCCATCTATTTTATCAAGTAATGGCCAGTATCGGACCCGCTTCCATTCACAGAATCACAGAATCACAGAATCACAGAATCACAGAATCTCTAGGTTGGAAGAGACCTCAAGATCATCGAGTCCAACCTCTGACCTAACACTAACAGTCCCCAGTCCCCCCAAATGCCATTCTGGCATTGCTCTCCTTAAAAACTTCACAGCCCTGCTTTGCTGACCCCTCAGCTGGCGATCTACTTCAAGGCACCCTAGGAAGCCCCAGGACACGATCTGCCAGCCCGTTCATCCCCACACGCGCCCACATGGCCAGCTCAGACAGCTCCCAGCACAGGTATAGACTTTGGTGATGGACTAAAACGCAGACGTGACCCAGCTTGCATCCAGAGACAACGTTCACCCATGCAGAGAGGCACTCCTGAACACAGGGCTCCTGGCATTGACATTTTGAGAAATATGCCTTTCCCCCATCATTCTGTAGCTCAGCCTTGCTTGGAAAGCAGGGCTCGCACCACAAACCCTCTACGTGACGTGCTGCAGCCTTTGGCTCTGTCGGGACCATCCAGCCTCAAATTTCCACGGGACTGCTCTGGGATGGGTCTGGTCAGTGAACACATTCCTTAAACCTGTGTCTGAACACAGGCTGCTTCCTTTCCAGAGGCCCACAGCTTCCTACAGCCCTGCAAAGAGCTCAGCCCTGCAGGTATCAGAGCAGCATACAGAGGCAGGAGCTGCAGCACAGTATGGGGAGGTCATTTGGAATGCCAGATTTAGCAGAATATTTTATTGGCATGCAAGATGCCACCCCAGATCCTGGTGCTGAGAAAAAGCTTTAAAAAAGGGAAACAGTCTTTGAATGTAAAAGACTTGAAAAGTATTACTCCAGGTTGGTTTTGCTGCCTTTCACAAAGCACAAAAAGCAAAGAGAAAACCTGCTCTGTGTATTTTTGAGGTACTTTGAAAAGCAAGAGAGGCAGGCATGTTTTGTTCTTGCCTCATTCACTTGCATCATCTCAGCATCACGCTAGCAAGAGGGAGGACAGTGGGAGCCCACACTATGATGACAAATTTTGGAGACAAAACAACACATTCGGCACAAAGCTGTGTGCATGGTGCTACAGCAGATGGCTCCCTGCAGAGCCCTTACGAGGCGTTCGAGAAGGGGCCAGCATCAGATCCATGGCTCAGGACAAGGAGCTGGAAAATAAGCAGTGGGAAGCGTAGGGGATTTTACAGGCAGCTTGGTGCCTAGTGGATGTAGGTGTTTTTTAAAGTCCCAGGCAAAGCAATGTGCCTCACAAGACACCAAGACACAAAACAGATGCTATAAAAGAAGATGGAATTTAAAATCCCTTGGCTAGCCTTTAGGATAAAGAAGATTTTCTATCAGGAAAGCTATCAGTCCAAACAGACACTGCTCCAGAAAGCAGGAATACATCTCACTGACAGCATCCGATGGTTTGGCTGCACAGCTATTTCTGTGCACGGAAAGGTATTTCATTTCTGTGTATCCATGGCTACTGGGAGACCATATGGCACGTGCTGACTCAGCACAGCGAGACGAGAACTCCTTCACACTTGGGTGTTTCTTGGCGTTGTTTTAATTCACAGGCTGGTGTCCGGCTCCCTCAGCCTCATCCCTTCTCTTCCCTTTCGGCACTTGGCCAGCCCCTGCTGTTGCCATCACTGTCACTGCAGGCACAAACTCTCCCATCAGCACTCCTCCAGCATGGGCTTCAAAGGCTCGCAGCAGGTTTTGCAGAGGGATGAAGAAGCCGTCGCGCTGCTGATGGCAATTTCCTCGGCAATAAGCCGTCTGACACCAAAGGCGAGAAAGCACAGCGAGCCTGCGTGGCCTTTTACAGCCCCTTCCTCCAGCCAGCCACCGAGCTGTCTGCCCTCCATCGCCTTGCTCTGCCCCAGATGAGAGCCCAGAAAGCATCCTGCTCACCCCTTCTTGCTCTCAGGGGACAAAAGGAAGCAGAGAAACCAGCACAGCTCACAATTTGTGCAAACACTCTGCTTTCATACCAGTTGCTCAACCCGTTACTAGTATTTCACAGGCCACACATTCATCTCCTCAAAGCCTGCGGCCAAATTCCCTGCCATTTCAAATAGCTCAGGATTCTGCGTTCCAGGCTGATGGCAAACATTTTCAAGCACCACTTTTTAATGGGGCACAGATTTCAACTGAGGTTTTGCTAGTCTGCGCCAGCTGACACATACCAGCATAAAGGATCAGCTGCGAAAGCAGCCAAAAACTGCAAAAACATCCAAAGCAGGAGAAAAATGGTAGAAAACCACGCAGAAGATCTGGCCTGCAGGAATAGTTGCAAAAGCAGGGCTAAAATGGTGAAAAATGGATAAATAACACAGCACATCTTATCCCCGGACTCCTCCTCTCCAACCAGCATCTTTCTGACCCACAACTTTGAGGAAAGAAAAACACCACTGGGACTAAGCAGGACCCCAGTTGTACCCACTGGGAAATCAGGAGGCAATAAATAAATGCAAATATAACAGCTCTTTCCTTTTTTCTCCCCCACTCAATGGACCCCTTTTTAGTACACTTTACCCCCCAACAGAGCTGCACATCCCTGTCTCAGCACTTACTCGGGCCGGTTGCATTCCCGTATGGCCGTCTTGATGCCACCGCCGCAGGTTCTCGAGCACGTCCCAAATGGGCTCCAGGTCCCCCAGGCTCCATCCACCACCGGCGCCTCTCGCTCCTTGGGCACACACATCCCAAAGCGGCAGTGCTGCGTGCAGAGAGATGGGGAAGGGTTGCATCACATTCCATTACTAGTTGGGTGCCAGAGACCAGCCTTAAGCCAAAACTCATAATGCAAGAACTATTTCACAGTGAAAAAAAATGAACTCATTTACTTGTTTCTGTCACCTTCCTTTTTTTTTTTTTTTTTTTTAAAAAAAAAATCCAGGGCTTGTTTTTAAGAGTTACATAGCATAGCAAACACACAGGGATGGCTTCAGGCAGTGATTTACAGGAGGAGGATTGAGGACAACAACATCCACCAAATACTCCCTGTTTGCTGGTGCCGAACAGCACGGCAGCGCTCATGGCACTGGTGTTTGGAAAAGCTGCTTATCTGATTTCCTTGAGAGCAGCAGGAACCGCAGAGTGTCAGGAGAGGAGACAGACCACAGGGAAAAGAAGAGAAAAAATGCAAACCTCTCCACAGCTGCGCAGAGCCCAGAGCAGAAGAGAGAAAGGAAATTTCTAAATCCAAAGGGCAAATTAAAAGTAGAAAAATTAATTTCTCAGTCCAAAGTACTTTTTTTTTTTTTTTTTTTTTTTTTAAACTCAGCCATAACACGGGACTTGCCAAAGCCTGGTCTGTGCTTGTGTTTTCCAGCTCTAACCCTTGTTTTCTTTTGTTTGGAAAAATGGTTTAAATTATCTCAGCAAGCCCCTGTCCCTGATTTTTTATGGTATTAATTGTGTTTCTTTGGGGTGTGTTTGCTAGCACAACTACAGAGACTTCTGGGCAGGCAATAACTAGAGGACAGCCACATTATGGTACTGCTGATCGAAATGGATGGATGGAAAAATGGCGTTTCACTCTCACCAAGTAGTTCTTGTTAATGCAGATTGACACCCATGGACATGCCTATCTGCTGGCAAATGCCTAAATCATTGCAGTTATATGAAGCCCAAACGTTGCTGATGGCTCACAGATTAGAAGAGGTTAGAGACTTAAAGGAGAAAACACAGAGATGCATCACTAAAATATTCCCTTACAGTAATTCTCCACACCTGAAGATCTTCATGGAAAGGGGCTGAATTTACTGATGTGCTGCATTTATCCATCCCCTTCACTAACACCAGAACAAGGTTGCATCAAGACACACCACAAGCTCACCCCCTTTTAGACATCCTTACAGAGCACCTTAGGGAAAGCTATCTGGGAAAACAGCAAACGTAGGGGGCTGAAGAACAGGATGGGGGCCCCCATGCCAGTCCTGCACAGGGACTAAGAGGTCCGATGGCTATCGTCAGTGAACAGAAACACACGACATCAATACAGCAGAGCTGTCCCAGCAGAGAATTTCTTGCAGAAATGTTGATGCTCCCAGCTAAATATATAACCGCAGTCATGCTTGGCACCACTGACCCAGAGAAGACGACCAAATAGCTAACTAGTGAATGTGCACAGCCTTCGGACCGTGACATGACTTAGACGTCTCCCATCCCATGGTTGAGAATTAACCAGGAAATCACCTACATCTCTTGGTTTTATTTAAAATTGGGGGTTTGAGGGTGATAGGAAATCAAGTGGGGAAAAAAAAAAAAAGAGCAGCTGTTTTAAATAAGCAGCAAGATTATCTTATGGAAACGCAATGGTGTTTCTTGGAACCACGCTGTGAATAGTCTGGCTGTGCAGCCTTCATGCCTTTTGTATTTTAAAAATAATTTCTATGTTGAATTACAACAGAAAACTAAAAAGTCTGCCAGGGTTCTCTTTCCTATGTGCTTACAGATCAGACAATGAAGAGAATAAAAGAGTTTTTGTCTGAAGCAAGTTCAAAATAACTTAAACAGACACAAAGTTGAACAGGAGAGCAATAGCAGGGACAGGAGACACTATAACAGACTTTCCTTTCCTTTGTCTTGCCACAGGAGTCCTAGATAATTCACCAAATCCAGCTCCTATCCATGGGCTGACTTTGGCTGAATAGATTAGCAGGGGGCAGACAAGTGCTGTGAAGCTTCATGCATGCATAACATATACACTACCTGCTGCCCAGAAGGCAGGAGACAGAAATGATTACTACCCGTCTACTCTTCTTTTACCATTCTTTAAACAAACCTGAAAACCGCAAGAGATAGAGGTCCGAGTTTATGACCCTCTTTATTTCCTTTCTTTGTGGCACGGTGATTTATTTCTTGCCCGTAACGCACCGGAGCTGTGAAATACTGTAAACCATTGTGGCTGGTATTCACCCAAACACCAGGCTGAGCTTATTCCTTGGGCCAGCAGTATCAAATTCAGTGTCCTCACATGCAAAATATGCATAAGCTAACGCTCCCATGTTGTTTTAGTATACTTGATTTAAGAATAAATGCGGAGCCTGATTAAATCTACATCCCAGCAGTTTTAGCCAGACTTTTCTAAGCTATTCAGGCTCCCTCATTTCCAAAGATATCTCCATAAAAAAGGCATGGTATTTTCTCCATCTGCCAACCCATATATCATGGATTTTAAACATGCAGACTTGCAGTAAGGCATTAGTCAGCAAGCAGCAGTTTGATGGGGCTCCTGGCCACAGCAGAGCACCAAAATAGTGATTTATTCCAAGGAAAGGCACTCCAGACTCACACCTCAGCACTTTACAAGCCCAAGAAAACACTCAGGAGGAGAGAGTTGATGACAATCCAAACTTCGAGCTTGAATTAGATCAACACAGAGATATAAGAATTACTCCATAAAGCCTTTTTTGAGAGTACATTCAAACGCCTAAGCACGATTGGACTGTGTTATCCTTTCTTAAGAGCCCCTCCGCTCTCTGCTGGGAAGTTCAGGTCACATTTGTCTAAATTTGTCTAGCCTTGTCAGACTGGCTAAATTTGTGGAGTGAAATGTTTTCCCTTACATAGGCTTCAAGAGCCATGCAGATGTACACGGCCTCTCAGCTAATGCATGCTAACTCCAAGGAAGTGCTAATGTGCTGAACTGCAGATGCTTGAACAACACTCTGGTCCCTATCTGAGGGTAACAATGCTGGTCTGAAAAAAAACTGCAGCCCAGATTTTCAGCCTCAAAATAGTCATTTCTGAGCTTCCAGCAGTGACCAGCACTCACAAATGGAGAAGTTGAAGATACAAGGTCTAAAGTCAAGGAGACTCCAGGGATGCCTAAGTATTGGTGTGCCACTGGCTCCAAAGAGTATCACAGGAATAGGATTTCCAGACACAACTCTAAAGCACATTCTCAACGACAAAAGCAAAAGTGTTGACTGCTCTTTTCCATGAGAAAGGAAGGCAAATTGATACAGTGCCTGTTGCTTTGAATGAATTCAGTCAAGTTTTGTTGAACAAATGACTTCTCAGGCATATATATGCAGCAAAAGATTAATTCAAAAAAAAAAAAAAAGATCTACAACCTTTGTTTGTTTTAGTTAGGATTAGAAAACTAGTTAGAATTTTTCTTCAAAATATTCAGCAACTCAATTAAAAGAAAAAAAAAATTCCTCCTAGCTACTTTTCTTGAGATCTGGACAACTGAAAACTAAAAACTTATTCTAGAAGCCACAATACTAGTGGCTTCTAGCTAACATTGCGCATAGAAAGTTTCTGTGAATTACTGCCAAAACCGTTCCATACAGAAAATGTCAACCAGTTCTATATTTTACTCATAAGTTGTCAAGATGAGAAGCCAGTTGGCAAATTTACATTATGCAAAATTACTAATTACTCACATCAGATAGGAAATTTCTAATAAAAGCTTAGGGAAGCTTTACAAAAGTTTAATCAAGAGTTCATTCAAGGGCATTAAATTAAAAACTAACATAAGCACTCCAAAAAGAATACCTGCTTTAAACAAAGTTATATCAAGCAATTTTAATCACGTTATGAGGGGTAGAGTTGACTCCTGCGTACCAGGATTATGACACAGAGCTGGCTCTGGGCTTCCACACTTGCAGGCAGAAGCTGTGCCCCATTCAGCCATCGGGATTAGGATGACTGTGACAGACATGGGAGATGTACTACAAGGCAAAAACCACCAGGTGTTACAGACCTTTCCAGGCTCACATTCTGTCCCATCTGCCCAGGGTGTGTGCTGGGTACGACATCCTTTGTGCGCGCCATCAATGTTAATGCACCAAAGTCGCCGGCACTGCATCTGCTTAAGTTATTGAAAACATCAAAATATTAAATAAATTCTTCCCACATGCCCTACTGGATAGAGAATCCTTTATGAAATTATCCCCCTGGGATTCATAATTAAATCAGAAGCTTGATGATAGCCTGATGGCTCATCCCACCCCTGCAGCCAGCAGAGCCAACAGCCAGCTGGTAGGAGCATCCTTCGCACCAGCCCCCTGCCCCTTTCACCCAACTCTGGGAGCCTTACTTTGCTCTGGCAACACCAGCAAGACCAAGGTGTGGAATTGCACTTACCATGTAGGGGCACACTTGGGATCCAGGTCCAAAAATTAACTCGCATTGCTTATTGACATCATAAATCAGCCCAGGAAGCTGCTGCGGCAAGGCGTAAGTTCTTGATGAAGGCTCATCAAGCAAACACTCCCCGTAACCAGTGCTGCAACACAGAGCAGAACAGCATCAAACAGGAGGTGATGAGACCAGAACCCACTGCTTTTTATCTGAGTTAGCCTTAGGGCAGACGGGCACCACATTTACCCTATTTAACACACTACAACAGCCGCTGTGGGCTCGAGCAGAGGGGTGTAGGAGGCTGTTTACCCATTCACCACCCCCTCCTCATGCTGTGCTAACAACCATCTACCATAACACAGCCAGCTACCCTGGCAAAAGCGTGTCTGAGCGTGCACAACCTGCACTTAGCTGCTGAGCAAGCACCGATACACATTTAGAAATAAAATCATTGATTAGCAGAAGCAGCACCCATGGGACAGAGCCCTTGGATTTGCCAGGACACCATCAAGGGTCTCGCTCTGTTCCCTACCACAACTTGTGGAAAGGCATCACAGCAAAACAGGTGATCACCATGCGTCAAACTGACCCGAGGGCTCCTTCAACAGTGTTTCCACGATGGACTAGTGCCAGGGCTTTCTCTTGACCTGTGGAGCAGAAAGGCAGATGCAATCTGCCTCCCAAAACACAGCTCCATATCTGGGCCACAGGGCTTGGAAAACTCACTCTTCAGGTTAGAGGAGAACACGCATTCCTTAAAAGCAACATCCATGGGGGAAGACTTACTCCTCCCCTTTGAGAGGCCAGTCCTTGCCAGCTTATCACGAGGCTGAACTGGCAGGGACTGGATGCCAGGGCTGCATTCCTGCCCTATGTAAAGGATGCGTGCACACACAAATCCCTCTCATTTCCTCCAAGCTCTGCACACCAGGGTTTCAGATTAACTGATGAACCCTGTGGGACACATGCACATGTAAAAACAGCCCGACACACACAGATGTAAGTCCTTACTCCAGAAACTCAGTGATGTATTTCCTACTGCATTTTGACCACATCCAGGGATTGGTGTAGAAGTTCAGCGTTGGTGCCATAACGTGCTGTTGGTTTTTTCCTCCATCCTCTTTGCACTTGTGATTGTCATCGTGTGGCATGTTAAACCTAAGAGAAACACAGCAGTGACAGCTTCAGTTGGATAAATGACAAAGTATGTAGTGTAGAAAGATCAACAGCACAAACTAAATATAAGCAAACTTGAGATTTTTCCACAGATAGGCTACTGGTAGGCATTACAGCATAAAAACAGATGATTCGTTTAGGGACATAGGGACCCTTTTTGGGGTAAGACACGACTTCAGCTGGGGCTTTCTTTTCAGCTGATGGGCTTAGTCCTGCAGGCAGGCACCTGGTCCTACCTTTGTAATAGTGCAGCCTCTCTGGAATTGATCCAAAGAGCCAAGAGATGATTGGGGGAATAGGTCTGCAAAGGAGAGGGATGGCTTGAGCCCACGGACAACCAGAGCCTGAAGTCCCTCGTGTATGTAGGCAGCACCCTGTGTTGGCTGTGTAACGGGCTGCACTGGGGATAGACTTGGCTCCTACACTTTCTTCTGCAGGTTTCCAAAATGCCATCGAGCATCAGTATCAGCACAAACCCACGTGAAGCTTGCAGCACATGACACATTGAGGAATGTGGCAAATACGCAACGGAGACAGAACGGCTTAAACCGCTTTGCTGTTTGAAGTGGAAAAGGGGAAATGACCCAGTGTGATCCTGCGCTCGAAGGCTGGGGAGTTTACATCCCATTAAGATTACCTCCGGTGAACCACCTTGCCACTCTGCTCCCTGCAAAAGAGCAAGGAGGCATTTCCTGCTCGGCTAACCCCTCTGGGGCAGCGTTAGCGAGGGAATTAGCCACAGGTTGGGTGTGGGGAAAGCCAGGCCTTGGGGGACTTTCTGTTGGGAAATCTCATGTAAATAAATACTACTGCGATTCAAAATAGAACGTTTCAGGCAGCCCTCTGTGCAGAAAAAGGGAGTTTAGGACAATGAGCGATCTGTGCCTGGGTACTCATCCATCCCACACCCACAGCTCCTGCTGCAAACCAGGTGGGAGGTGGTTTCGGACTGATCCAGCTGCCTAAAAGGGCTGGGGACAAGGGACGATGTGACCTAAAATGACTTCTCTTATAACTCATTCTCAAAATCAAAATGAGTTAAAAGAAATTTCCACTGGAAGAGGTAAATCTTCAATGATGGCATCTCTTCAGGGCATGTCAGTAGCATGAGATTTACCTTGGCAAAACAGCTCAGCAGGTGGGTCAGGCCCGTTTATACATCCCGACCAACTGCCACATACCCTGGGTAGCTCCCCCCTTTCCTGCAGCTGCTGGCTGCCCCCAGCAGCCCCACGTACAGTTGAGGTGGCAGGCTGGGGACCTGCTCTCGGAGACTTCAGTTCCAAAGGCCAGGTGAGATGTCCCTTGTCTTCATCCTCCCTGCAGCACCTCGGGATATTTCGTTAGCTTCCTCCCCCAGCTTGGAGTACCGTCACTCATCCGCCCCAAAACATGGATCTGATGTTTTTGCTGCTCTTGGATAAGCTCCACAGCACTCCACTGCCTCCAAGTCACACCACGGCTTAATCCTCCTCGGTGGTATGCCTTCTACCCAAGTATATTTATCTCCCCTCAAATAATTCAGCTCAGCAGGTACTGAGTCCTAGCCTGGCTGGCAAATCCCAGCTAGCATAAATCTCAATCTATTTAAATGTAAATGTATTTACATAAAACATACACATGGCCAAGTTCATGTGCTATTGTGAACGCAGTGCTCAGTCCATTATCTTCACTAATTGAACAGCTCCTGTAGGGGTCACAGACAGTACCCAGCTCTGCCAGACCTAGGAGAGAACAGAGGTGTACAATAGAAAAGGAAGCGTCACCCATAGTTTAGCACAGGCAACTAACATTGTCACTACCAAAAAAAAAAAAGTTTTTAAATTACAAAGAAAAGGTTTTCCTTACCCAGAGTATCACACTTGTCGTGCGCTCTACAAATGTCCTGTCTGAAAGCAGAGCAGACCTGACATGTTAGTTTTCAGTGCAGCAGTGAGATGAAGTACAAGCACAATCACAAAAACATCCACAAGCACTTCTTGCTCCTCCAGCGGGCCTCCTCGTGCTGCTTTGTCACATTGCCCAGTCAGAGCCCGACCCAACCAGGGGGTTTCACACATGTCGATACCCTGGGCAGTCCTGAACCCAAGTCATCTACTGCCATGGGGGACACGTTATCCCAGTTCTGCTTGTAGTTACACTACTTCAACAACTGCATGTGATTATACCCACATCAAACCGAACGTTTCGCACAGCTACAGATGTTACGTGCTCACAGCCTCTGACTGGCCATGGTCTTCATGAGAACATCCACCATACCTGGTGACAAGGACGGCTGTGTCGTGCTGAAGGTGACTTCCTTCGGGGTGGTTCTGGGATTGCTGCCACTGGCAAAAGTTTTTTAATGTTGTCTGGGCATTGTAAGATATTGCAGGACCATCCTAAAAAGCGATACACACAAAAGCAGGTATTTAGTTATTCATCTCAAGGCTTGCTACAAGTGTCACTGTCAAACAGATGGAGAAGAAAAACACTTCCTTTACCTGTTCGTTATGTATCACGACCAATTTCACAATAACAATATTAATTAAATTTCCAATGCTTGGGTCTTTGTAGATAGAAGCCACCTGTTTTAAGAAGAAACAGAATTATTCAAGGAAACAAATAAGACAACACTTGGATATTTTTCATTTTGCAACCTTTTTTCTCCTGAGCCACTCTTCTGCCCTGCTCTGTGCTCTGATGCTACCCGGCCCTGTATGTATCCACGAACTCACTGCACACCTTGCAGAGACCTGCCAGCAGCATGATATTATATGGAACAAGCCACTGATATTGCAGATACCCAACGCTTCCCTTTGCTTTACCACATCACCAAATTACAGGATCATTCTGCTCCAACACCCAATGACCGCTGACCATGACTGTCAAGAGCAGCTTATTCTCTCAAGTGCCTCATTTTGACATGGCCAGTTTTAGACCACAATATCCATGGTGATTCTGCACTCAAACAGGAGGAGAATCCCTGCAATGACATGACCAGGTTGGATGCTCCCTTCCAGTCACCACGTATCCATAGAGCTGCCTGTCCAGGGATTGCACAGCTGCATCCTACTACCAGCAGCTACTAAAATGCTTGTCCTCAGCCTGGAAAGCCAACCCTAGCACTGTGCTGAGGACCAAAGTGATCGCCATCTCTTTCTCCTTTAACAGCAAGGGAAGCCAAGCAAGCGCATAACCTACTAGCATCCATCCCTAGGAAGGCTCAGTCCTCAAAGCACATTTTTAATTTAGCTGCTATTTGATGTGAGCCTAAAAAAGGAGTACAATCTGTAGGTTAAAGGGAGAGGTGTGGGAAGGGTTAGGAAATGTGAATGGTCTGGGAAGGAAAGCATCACTTGGAGTCTTCCAGCCAAGTTCTACCAAGCTTTACATTACACACAGCTGAGGCAAACTGATGGTATTCACATGGCAGGAAAGAAGTTCTTTGGCCACCAGGGGTGAACCCACTCCCCGCAGCTGCATACTCACTATTGACATCAACGTTAAGACATAGTGCTGTAGATTGGCTCCATGGTAGGCGACCATCCTGCTGTCAGCCACCACCATCACTTCCACAAACCGAGGGTAGGAGAGAAACCGCTTTGTTCTTCTGTGGCTCTTCTTTTCACTGATAGTCCCGGTCTTGTTGCTACCCGCAGAAAATGAGTTCACTTCCAGGCTGTGCTTTAACATCTCCACGTCAGATAATATGCTGCTGTCTACCCACTGCTTTCTCCAGTGTTTCCGCTTGTTCTTTTTGTGACTGTGTTCATGATCTACAATTAAAAAGCAGACACATAAAGTACATTCTGGAGTGAGTAGAGTTAATATCCCAAGCATCATGTCAAAATACCTATTGACTTCAACCAAGACATAGTAGGCTTGCTCTAAACAGATAACCAAAAGAGAAGCCTTGTATGGAAGCCTACCACATAATCCAATGTCTTTAATTCTTAAAGACTGAAGCCAACGACACTTCGGGTAAGGGCTCTCCAGCTGTAGGAACATCCTGTGGCCATGCAGGAGGCCCCGAGCCCGGGCTGCAGCGGCTCCGCTCGCCCCAAGCCCGGTAAGGGTAATTAGCCAACGCGGTGGCAGCGTGAGGATTCTGGGCACGTCCAAGGTGGCCAGGAAACAGCAGGAAACAAAGGTCCAAATCCTGTATTTCTAACTCAGGCATGAAGGACAGCAGGATTTGGCCTTCATAGTGAAGCAATTATATATGATTTATTTCTGTCTCTAACAATAACATGGCTGGGCTTCAATTCCCCCCCTCCCTTTATTATTCTGTGCTACAGGAATGGTAAAGGTCATCTAATAGCCAGCTGCCACTGGCTAAAGAATAGAATTCAGGAAGTTTCACATATACTGCTTTTGATATTCAATTAGGCCAAACATAAAAGCAGCCTGAAAATATACTCCATGCTGACACAAAGACGGCAAAGCGAAGAGGGAGAACAGGCAAATAAAACATATGGAACATGTACAATTAAGATTTACCATCTGATTAGTATGTAATTATAGCATTATTTAAATATAAGAGCAAAATCAGTCTTATTTGATGCCACTTAATTTTTAATCATTTCATCATAGGAAGTTGCTAATTGAATGTGATTCATCCACAAGAGTCTGTTCGCTTCTGCATTTAATATAAAGCCAGATCTGAACTACTCATCTAAGACTCCAGGCTACAACCCTCACGGTCTTTGTAGCTTTAGTTTAATTTAGTCATGCTGGTGAAAAATATCACATTTCCTTATCTGACCCAGTGAGTAGGTTAGAGGAAGCATAATATTAGGGAACAAAGGAATATTCAATGCTCAAACAAGATTTAAACGATAAGAACTTCTTAGCTATTTCTCATGTGTGGTTTCCTCCAAGGATATTTGGTAATAATTTCCAAAAAAAGAAATATGAAATATATTCTCTAACATCAAGGCAGGCAAAGGGGGTTGGCCAGCATCTAGCCATCTGAAAAATACTGTTTTTCCCCCACATGTACATAGGCAATGGATTATTTAAGAATTAAATTCCGTTTACTCTGCACTACCTAAGCCCTGTGAATTCCCCTTTCTTGATACAGTCCAGACCACCTTAATACAGCGGAGAGTCCACAGTTATTTGAGTAAGAATTCGAGAAAGCCAATGGCATTTGTGGTTATAATTGGATTGCCCTAGTTCCTCTGCACTAATCAATGCCGTTGTGCTGGCAAGGTTGTGCTCTCATGCTGGCACGGCTTCGTGGGCAACCGTGACATTATCCCGACTTGTGCAGTGCCAGTCAGCGCAGGGAGCCAACCGTGCATACAAATAACTTAAAGGTGAGAAGACGACCAGACGGTGGAGAAAGTGCTAACCTCAGCCCTCCACCCAGTCCCCCGCATGCTACGGGGCTCCTCTCTGCACCCTTGGCTGGTCACTTAAATTTCCGTATTAAATTACTGACTTCCAGAGGGATCGGCCACTCGAGGAAAAACACATTAAGGATTGAGAGATGCTCAACAAGGGGGCTGCAGCGAGGCTGGACATAGGGCTGCCACGTGAAGGATTGTGAAAGAGGGAAGTGTAAAGGATTCTTTGAAGTGACACCCATTATGTTGGAGGTACTTAAATTAATTTTTATTTACCAGGCTTATGTTGCTCAGGAAAAACAGGAAAAAACACCTTTTCTTTCCCTGTTACACAGGTCTCATGGTGCTTCCTCTCTCCAACACACAGCTCATCCCTTCAAAGCCCAACATATTTTTTCCCACGTATGAAGTCACTCCAACACTTACAGCATGATATCTGGACACCGGTCACGCACGGTATGTTTGCCAACCTAGTTACTGTAAAACCAAGCTCAAGCGAGTGGGGATACATTTCATGTCAAGCCCCTCCTGGACTTTGATAGTAGTGAGCTGTTATCTTCACCCATCTTGCGTGTAACTACACTTAGAGATGGTGCACATTCACCTGTAAAAGATTAAACACTAATGGCAGTGTACTGCTCTCAACCCATGCATGAAAACTCCCACCAGCCTTACTGGGAGTCGCACCCAGGGACTGCCAGCACTCTGCTGTTGCTCTCTCTCACGCTGTGTTACGATGGCCACAACACAACAGGAACACTTTTACTCAATGGTGTGTCCTACTCCTACTGCAGTTTAATTAAACACAAGTGAAAAACTCACATCATACAAGAAAACTGCAGTCTTATACCACCAGCTTCCATTGCAACTCCGAACACCAAAAAAGGGTGTGATATTTTTCCACATGCTTTTGCTTTTTTTTCCCCCCTATCATGTTAATATATTAACAGAAATCAGGAAGCAAAATGGTCTGCTTGGCAAGCTCTCAATCTCTGCAAATGACCTGAAAAACATCTACCTACACATGGCAGTAATTGGATGGGTTTAAGTACCAAAACATTTTCCTTAATTTGCAGAAAAAACAAAACCCCAATGAGTAGACAAACACTTGAAAACCATGCAAGCTACAGATCAATAATTCAAGTACTAGGCTAATCTATGCACTGATTCAACAGTTGATATTCATTTATGAGATGGCTAAAAGGCTGCTGGAGTAATGCCCATTTTATTGCTTGCTTTACTAAGACAATACATGGTAGTCATACCATCTCTAGACAGGTGCATGATCTCTCTTTTTTTTGTTTGTTTATTTGGTTTATTTTTTATTTTTTGGTTTATTTTTTGCTACGTGAAACTTAAAAAAGAGGTCTGATCCTGTGATATTCACTGTGACAGGGATATCCCTTCCCTGATGGCATCTTCCAACACATGCTGCTTGTGCTTGCTTAAGATGCCTCAGCCCTGAGCCCATTGAGCTGATTTACGGACGAATCCTGGTGATTAATGGACTATCCCAAGGGAGAATCAGGCCCTCCACGAGCACTTTGCCTGCATGAAAGGGTGACAGGGCAGAGCCAGGGACTGCTTTTGAAATAGTAGCTATTGTTATGCTAAAACCAAAAATTAAAAGAAAGGGCGATCGCTTATCCCAACAGTTCTAATCCTTTCCATTTCTGCATTAACTTGTCCTTGGAATAGAAAGCAATTTGCACAATTAAATAAGACATGTGACAATGAAAGCAATTCCAGTTCAGCTCCAAGTTCATGAGAGCTGTACATAGCAGGGGAAAAATAAAAGGAGAAAAAGCAGGAGAGGGAAAAAAATGTCTATTTCTAGAGCTAATAACATTAATGACCTCTCCCTGCTAGAAAAGGAGCATGGTCCTTTCAAATCAGCTTACTCTTGTGAGTTTTCTGAGCCTGTGACCTAGAATTTTTAACACGAAGTTTGCTACCCTGTGACTGGCCCAGAACACTCCTAGAACTGCTCTGATCCAGCCCTGCAGATGATAACACCCTAGTTTGGGAGTTAATTATTTATTGCACACCTTCATAAAGCAGATCAAAATTCAACGGAGCTCCCTGAGGGCAGCATGTGCCCTGTCTCCCTTGGCTCCAGCACAACCACAGCAGCAAACCCTGCCCTGATACCTTGGTACAAGCTCTGGCTACAGTCAGCTTGCCCAGATTTGCTGCCTGTAGCATTTACAGCTGCTGAAGCAGCTGCCACCCCTGGAAAGGAGCAGCAAGAGGCGAAACTGATTTTCTGCATGCAGAGGTCAAGAGCGGATGACATCCAACCATGCTCTTCTTGCCAAGAAATGGGATGGAAACTGCCTCCTCGTGAGGTCCCCCACAGGTCCTGAACTGGACCAAGGGACTTCTCTAGCCCTGGGTCTGCAATATAAGCAGGAGCTCCATTTTCATTCTATATCAACACATTATATACCTCTATCTATAGATTTATCTACAAATACATCTCAGATGAATGTATAGGTGGACAAACGCTCATTTCTGTTACCATGGGCATGTTGCTGGTGGCAGAAACCCCACACTTACACCAGTACAACCCAGAGCAGAACACCCTTTGCTGCTGGCAGCTTGTCGCTCTGGATTGCCCCTTGGCTTTGCATCCAGAGCTGCTGTCACCAGCAGAAAAGGAAAATAGCTTTTACTGGTAGAGGTGAGATTAATGACCTGCACCAGGAGAGAAATGAAGGGTCCAGGTCAGCCAGGATCCACAGAGAAGGGCACTCTGCACTAAGGGTGAAAATGAAAATTTCCTTGACTTTTCTAATCCCCAAACCAGAAAGTGCTCAAATGCAAATTAATCTGAACCACATAACTGCCAGAAATCAACTGGAGTTTCAAACTTTATGAGCGAGAGCTGGACAAAACCACATGAATCAAACTTTTATGTCTGGAACTAATGAAAATGCAGTAAAATATCAGACCTTTCATAGGTGCCATTATTAGAGCAATGAAGGAGGGAAGCTTTAATTTTCCACATTCATACTTCCCTTCAATTAGGAAATAACCTTGGAACAGAAGAGCTCCCTCTGAGCCTCTTCCAGAAGAATCAAAATATTGACCTTCAAAACTAAATTTTTTCTTTGCTGCTAAGAGAAACGTTTGCTTGCTACCCAAGCATACCTGCTTGCTAATTTCCTTCCCCTCCTTCCCTTTGAATTTCACACTTACACTACTAAGTGGCTTCCTAGGTGCCCGACTGGAGCCAAGCCAAGCTCCTTAGAAGGGTCCGTGCCCAGGAGCACCTGGGGCTGCAGTCAGTGCCCGCTTCCAGCCCACAGCACACAATTTGAAAGACCATGGAGCAGTCCCATAAGCTGTTTCGATGAAGCACCGGTGATGACAGAAGGAGCAGCCCCATCTCCCTTCACCCTCCGCATCTCCGTCCTTGGAGG